GAGTTTTATTATGTGTAGGGAATTTGCTGATAAGATTATAAGTTTTCTTAGAAAATGTATCTATTTTTGTATACCTAAAACAAAAACATGTTTATGTTTTTAAAAAAAAGTATGGGTACGTGTTATTAAGCAGAAAAGTTTTATAATTTTCAAATCAAGACTTAGGTCTGATTTTTAAAATTTATATTCATCTCTTTTTCTAAATTCACATTATTAGATAACTTAGAGTGTCTTGAACTGTTTAAATTATAGTTACAATCTTAATATAGCGCTAATTTGAACCATTTCATTATGCTTTTTAGACGATACTTTGGCCCAGTTGGAACAGATGCATGGTTCAAATCATCACCTAAATAATATTTCAGCAAATTTAAATCACGTTATTGTTCAAGGTGCTGATATCTAAGTTCAAAGCTGAACAGACATTTTTTGTGTTTTGGTTGGAATTTTTAATTAACATTAAAATATTCTGCTGAAAAAATCTACTAACTATTTATTAAGGTATGCTCAAAGTTCTAACAATTTAAAAGTGCACTGATAAAAAAAGTATGATCTAAATTACTAAAATATAGTAAAGTTTACCATGTTTCTGACAATAATTGAATGTGAAAAAGCTTGATAATTTTTACTGAAGCTCTTTGGTAATGATTTTAGAAAAAATAACAGTAAAATATTGTTTTATAATGTGCGATTAAATTTGGTAATTCTATCATGATATCTTAGTTCATGGCACAAAAACCATTTATCCGGTTAAATTCTCTTTTCAATTTTGTATTTTTTACTTAACGAGTGGTAAAAAGAAATATAATTTTGAAAACTATAATTTCCAGGAAACCGTTACCATATGAATGGAAAAATTACCAAATGAATGGTTTAAATACCGTGTATTTTGCTTTTATTAACCAGAATTATGTCTTTTTTCCGCCTGAGATATCATTAACATACAGTGCGGTAATTTTATCAGAATTTCTTTCTCCTTGTGGTGGTTTATTGATGATAAAACCCAATGAAAAAAGCTTTTATCATAATGAATTATAGAATTTTTATTGTAAATTAAATTTTTTACTACATTTTAAAGCTAGACATTTTCGATACTTCGGAGTTTAAATGGGTATTTCTAGGAACAATTTTATTTTTATGCATCCCTCCATTGACCTTCTAGTTTTTGGTTTCTTCTCCTTTGACTTTAAAAACCTGTTAAGGTCTTTATGGCAAATCATAAAATAGTTAAACCTTGGAGCTTTAACTATTGCAATCTATTATAGGTAGGCATTACATAATAATCACTACTTATTAGAATACAAATCAACTAGCTAAATTAAAATTATAATTCATGGTATTACTACTATACATGGTATAAAATTTCACAGTTAAATAATGCTACTTAAAAAACAAGGTTAGTTCTTTTTTTAAGTAGTACAATAATTTTTAAATGATAGTATAGTTAGTAGTATTTTTTTCTCAAATAGTATAACTGTTGATTGAAAAAGCAATTTTTTAATTACATTAATTATATTTGCAGATAATTTTTTTAAGATTAGTAAAACTGTGCATATCATTTCACTGCCACTTTTAAGTAAAAAAAGTTTTAAATACTATAAAAAAAATCAATTAAAAACCCCATTAAAAGCAGTTATAATTTTATCTTGAATTTTATTTTCGTTTTGTAAAAATTTCTGCTCATAAAACAAATTTAAATTAACTTAATTTGAGTAAATTTAATGACGTGCCTTTGTTTTTTGCAGAATACTTGGTAGAGTTGAAGTATTCAAATTAACTCGATATAAAAGAAAATGATATTGAAAAAATCAAGATAACGTAAAAAATATATTAAAGTTAAGTACAAGGTACAAGGTTTGCAAAAAATATATTAATAAAGGAATTGTTGCAAACTGAGCAGTATCAAGTTTGTTCAAAATGAATTCATTAGAATTATAAGAAAGCTTCGTCAAAGAAATATTTTCAGAAAAGATGGAAAAAAAATATTTTGCTGTTAAAATAAAACGAACTGTTAAAACAATCCTACTAAAAAGTTGAGACTTAAAAAAAATTTTTTTTTGTATATACTAAATGCAAAATTTTACCAGAATAAAATTTTAGAACTTTAAAAAATATTAATGCACAGTTCGTAAAAAAAAGGAGAGAATACACTGAGTAATGTTTGATATAATGATCATCGGATTTTTACGCTATAGAACACAATCTTAATGGTTTGTCGCATATATATATATACAGGATGATTCTAAAAAGATGGGCAAAATTTTGGAAAGTGATAGGACACACCCAAGCATTTTTATCAAATAATGCATGGTCGAAAACAAAACGCAAAACCGCTAGAGGGCGTCAAAGCTTATGTTCTTATATGAGGCAAAAACACACAAAGAACTATGAAGTTAAGTTATCAAAGCAAATTTAATGGCATGTGATTACAATAAGTGCTCAAAACAGTGGCCGGCAGTGGCTATGCACGCAGTACAGCGGCGAAGAAAAGATAGGCGAACATTCTGAAACACAACAGACATATCACGAACTTTCCCTGCAGCGGCCGAAAGCTTGGCGACAAGTAACGCAGCGCAGTAACTCGCAACAGGAATGGAGCTTTAACGTTTGCATTAAACAACTTTCCAAATGCGCCAGCACTTTTGCGTTTTGTTTTTGACCATGCATTCTTTGACAAACATGTCTAATCTTAGATATGCTTATTCGCGAAAAATTCGTGTTTGTTTTTGATTTCGTAACTTATAATAAAGTCTGTATTAATTAATAAGCATGTTTAAGATTAGACATTTGAACCATTATGATTGAGTCATGTACATAAAAGTCTGTTTATTAGATCAATAAGTATTTAAGGGGTTTGCATTTTTGCTTCGTGCACAATATCTTTTTTCTTTTTAAAAAATCTCTTCTTTTGAGTTAACAATTCTATTCTTTTTCTTAAATTTAGTTTTTGATGCTAAAATTAATTGTATAATTATTTTTATCTTTAACAAACAAATAATTTGTGGATGTGAATTTATAAAAACAAATAAATTACGCAAAACACTAAGCAAAATTAATAAACTCAACATTTTTATAAATATTTTTAAATACTAGGTTGGAAACTACGTTAATTGTAAATTAGTTTCTACTAGAAATCTCGATTTCTCACTCTATTGAAGTATAAATTTAGAGAGTTTTTTTTTTAAATTTGTGAAAAACGATTAGTGCTGCTATTTCTTTTTCTCTTGTATTTCACTTAATTAATTAATTTGACTTTTGTTTGAATGGAAAGAAGAGTAGCTTTTTAAGCACAATATGGAAGTATCATTAAATAATACTAAATAAATTATTAAAAAAAATTCAGCTTTTCAAATTATATAAAGAAAATGTTTAAAGATTCTTTTAAAACTATACATCAAAATTAATATTTTTACAACTTTCTTTTATTAGGAAAACTCAACATTCTTTTTTCTACACGAACTAAGTTAAAGCTATCGAAATATGCATAATTTACAAACTATTGTTAATGAATAATTTGTTACCAATTTTAAATGTTTCTTTAATTTTATGTATTTAAAAATAACATTCTAAATTGAGATAAAGATCACAGTTTTTGGGTGCATAAGCGTCGATAAGTAACTGAATAGTTTTAAACGTAATCTCCAGTATATGAATAACAAATATATATTATACCAAGTAACCCTTTGGTTGACATATTATTCTAATAACATGTCATTCAACTAATTTCATCATGCATTTTTAAAGCATAATATAAATGCATAAATTGTTTGGATTTCAACATTTATTTCAAACATTAACATACAAGAGAATAATAACTTAAATAATTAAAATAAAGATAAATACAATTTCTTTTAGGTTTTATTTATTATTTCTTGAGTAATGAAAATTTCTTTAAGCAATTTACATTTTCTGCAAAAGATAAAGCAAATATCAATGAAAATGTTGATATTTTCTCAATTAAAAGTAAAATATTTACTACTGGTTAAGAAGATAGAAGGATGAAAATTCATCTTAAAATTATGCATGCAATTTTTATGTTTATATACAAAATACTTTAAGGAACTACAATATACAAAATGTACAAAATATCTCTACAAATTGCGTCCGCAGCTTATTTCCGTTGTAATGCTTTGAAACTCATTCTAGATCTAATATATTCAAAATCCATTGCAACACAATATTACATAAACGTAATAATTTCAAAATGTTTAAAAATTTTAATGTATAAATCTTAGAATCTATTTTTGAAAGCTTTCATCTACCCCTTAAAAGTAGAAATGTATGTTTTAAGCAACTTTTCATTTACTTTTTAGAAATGCCTCACAAATTAACGAAATATTTTTAAAATGTTTTAAATAATTTTAAATGTTATCATGATGTTATCAAATTACTCATTTGAATTTATTGCATTCTGAGTAAAAACGTACAGTCAGAAACCACCAGAATAAGGTAAAACGTACTGTATCCATGGGAACACATAAAAGCTCGGTAATTTTTACCGAGATCAGAAAATTCACAATTAAGAAACCTGCTTTATCTTTATATTTTTCAAAATCTAAAGTATTCGTTGAAAACTACGTATAGTGCGCTATGAATGAACCACTCTTAATAACTTTTATTCTAATGATCGGATTTTCAATTTTTTGGATTCAATCTTGACGGTTCAGGAAGGTGACGTTTAATATGCTATTTAATTTGTGCAGACAATATTTTAAGTTATGAACTCAGAGATAAAAACGCACTTTCTCTGAATATACATACCTTTTTTCGATGCAGCAGCAATCTGAGAAATATTGTCTCAATAGTTTGGCAAGGAAAACGATCCAAAGTTTGAACTCTTTAAATTGATTTTACTTTTGATGATTTCACTATATCTCGAGAGCTTTTTAAGCGAGTCGAATTTTTTTTTTTGCACACAATTATGAAATTAATTTTTTTAAAAATAATTCCATGCGCAAAATAGCTTAAGTTATTATTTTTTATTATTTAAGATAATCATAACCGAAAAAAGTTTAAATTGTAAAGTATAAATAAGATTTGAATTTTACATGACATTATCTTTTAATAAATTTTTTTTTATAATTGTATACAAAAAAAATTTTCAGTTCGCTTATACAGTTCTCGAGATATGCAAAATACGCATAAAGGGTTAAAACTTTGGACCGCTTTCCTAACTAAACTATTGGGGTTATATTTTCCAGATTTGAGCTACTCCCCTCATTTGGGGATGGAAAAAAGGTGTGCTTATTCAGCGAAAGTACGTTTTCGTGTTTGATTTCGCAACTAAAAACATCGTCCACCCTAATCATTTAGCATATTTGAGGCCACCCCCTCGAATCATTAAGATTGAGTCTTAGCACATGGAAATCCGACCATTAGATCAAAAGATATGGGGGGTCCGTTTTCTATTTTGCGCAATGTGCCCTGCAAAAAAACTGGATCAAATTAACGCAAAAACTACCGGCACTCAGGACGCTGGTACTTTTTTACCGTAAAATCCATTTTTACAGGAACATGTTGTGGAATAAAAAATTCTGATGTACCGTAATTTTTACAGTAATAGTTATCGTAGAAATTACTGAATCACTCTAATTAAGTAAATATTACTGTAAAAATTACGGTATAATATTTTACGGTAAAAATAAATTTTCCGGTAAAGTGGATTCTATGGATAATTCACCTAAAATACCGGTATTTAATTTCGTAATTTGATCCGGAATTTTTAAAGTGTAGTCAATTTCAAATTCTAAACAACTAGTTAATAAATCTTAGATTGAAAACTATTTTTTTTAACCAAAACAAGAGATGCAATGATTTGATGATATTAATGCAACGTGTGTGGTAGAATGTCTCTAAATAGTTTAATATTTTTCCTTTATAGAATGTGTTTCTTCTTTTAACTTTATAGCCTCATCGTATGCTTCTTCTTCATTATATAACTTTTCATAATCGATGACTGGTAGACGAGACAGCCAACTAAAAAATAAAGCAAGAAAAATGTCACTCTGCCTTTTTTATATAGGTTCATTAAATTTAGGCGTCATCAATAAGATTAATATGATTGATTAATGCAGTAACTGTACACAATTAAGAATATCCCTTTGATCGATTAAGTTAAAAATAAAATTATAATCATTTCAATATTCAAACTAATTTTTCACGCTTGCGAAAATTGTTTCAGTGTTTTCATTAAATGAACTAAAAAGTGATTAATTGTATGTTTGCTTCTCATCATTGACTTTGTTACATTAATTGTATGAAGTTCAAGGCAGTCTGAATCCTATCAAATGATTGAAAGTAGAATTACTAATTAAAAAAGCATTTTAAATATTTTAACGTTAAATTATTTCTCCTTCGATACATTTTACCAACCTTGAATTCAATCAATATTTTATTTCTCTTGCGTGGTATTAACATTTCATTATAGTCGATAAAAGCACTTAAGTGTCAAAATTCCAGATTTGAAGGATATCGGTCAAATAGTTTCTGTCTAGTCAATAATTTCAAAAGTTTTTTTTTTTTAACATTCATTTTAACATTTTTTTTAACATTCACATTCAGTCATAGCTATATACCCAATTTTGATAAATTTTTAAATTTTTCTTTTTAAATTAAGAAGTCTAAAATAATGTAACATTATAAAAGTGCTCAAATTTTCATTTATTAATTTTATTTTTGTTTATTATTATTATTTGCTTTTCCAGATCTCAATTCTCCCCGGATTTCAGAATTCAAAAAGAAAAAAAACTTCATTGAGAAAAAGTTCATTTTAATTCAGAGAAAGTAAGTTTTTTGATGTGTATGATTCCGCACTAATTATCATATTAAAGGTCTATTATTCTAGGAACAATTAAAACATTGGTAGATAAAATAAGATTTTCTGTAATGACCTAAATCATTAGATCTAAAGTTATTCATGTGTTCTGTTGTTTATTTAGTTCACTGTACTCCACTATACTCTTTCTTTTAAATTATTGCTTATTTATCTTTAACTTTATTTTGTGACCAGACATCCTCAAATCTTGAGGAAAGTTCTTGAATTTCATGGATTGTCTTCAAGAACTTTCAAATTCTTTGAAAACAAAAAAATGCCTCCAAATTTTAACTCGTGTCCTCGAATTTCTCCCGAAACGTATAATCATTTTGATATGTAGTGATATAAATGAAAAAACAATCAAACATTCGCATTTTTTTCTTTTAAAAGATAGTTTGTCGTGAAAAGAATGCAAACGAAAAGTGCATAAAAATAATGCTAATACTAACAGACGAAAAAGTCAAGAAATATTCTCCTAGAAATAATTCCAGCAAAAACTAAGCAGATTTTAATAATCATGGACTAATTCATTTCGGATATTTTCAAAAGCTGAATATTAAATGATATTTTAAAACCACTCAGTAATGAAATCAAGTTAAACGTTTAATGAAGATGGTTCTGCACCAAATATTAATTCTTTCTTACCTTATATTAATTAATTACTTCATATTATCTAAGAGATTTTTTAAAATCTTTGTGTGTCCTGCACATATAAATTAATATTTTCCATCAATAAATGGACTCCGCAGTGGACTGATAATAAAGACGCGGTTTTCAGTAGAAGTTAAGCGTCACTAACATTAAGCAGGTAGGTGATCACTTTGATCAGAGGTTGCTCTGCACCGGTCCTCGTTAAACTGTTTTTATGTTAAGTGCTGGACTTCGCGGAAAAGGCTAAAAGTGGGAGAGTTATTCCTGATGGCATGTCTTCGGATCATCCTCAAGGATGTTTCCCAGACTGAAATAAAATACTTACCTACCCATAAGTAAATGCGATTTCTCAAATCTTAAAATTTTCACGCCCCGCTGTTTTGCCCTCAATCCATGCTTAATAAATCTGGTCACCTTACTATATAGTAAAGACTTCTGTCTTAACATCAAGCGAACATCATAAAGTTAATTTGTTTTAAATTATGAAGTCATAAACAAATATCATTCTAGTTTTTGCTAGTACCTTATTAGCGACGAAATAGTTTTTGGTGAAGAAGAAAAATGAAAAAAAGAAAAAAATAAGAATTAAAAGTAATTTTTAAAAATAAGAATGGCAAATTAAAATGATACGGTGAAACAAAACTCTGAAAAAATTGCTTACATGAATACTCCTATAGGTATAAAAAGAATAGTAGCCACAATAAGGAAGACCATTCCTGGATAAAAATTTAGCGTAGCATTGAACAATTGAGACGCAGCAGCCGATGCTAGAATCGGTAGAAACGTTTCTGCTGTTGTTAAGAAAGCAAATATTTTGCCTGAAAATACAAAAGAAAAGTTACCTTAAAATATGAAATGGAATATTTGAATGATTTGGTTTTTAATATACATTTTATAAAAAATACAATTTAAACTAAATTTAATTCCCCATGCATCCTAAAAAAGACAAACTCTTCAAGAAGTCTTGTTGTTCCTTTTTTAACGTCATAGCAAGACATGATTATTACTTTTTTCTCCAGTTTTTCCTCTTGAATGTATTACTCCATTGAATTCGTCTTCTCATTCGTCTTCGTCATTGAATTCGTTGCTGTTCCTTTTTTAACGTCATAGCAGGACATGATTATTCATTTTTTATCCAGTCTTTCCTCTTTAATGTATTACGCCATTGAATTCGTCTTGATGGGAATTTAAGATCCGGATTTCCAGGGAAATTAAACATCGTGATTTCAGACAACAAATTAGTGCATCCAAAAGCAGAATTACTGACGCCACTCTCAAAAGAATTTTTCGACATTGAAAATAAATAATTGCATTGAAAACAAATAATTAATGCATAAAAAATTACCGATGTATGACGTATGCATGAAAAAAAAACATATAGCAACCAGTCTGTAACAGGAGAATCTTCTACCAGAAATTGAAGTAACTTCTGCAAATAATGTTCTCTATCCTTGAGAACGCGAAATACGGTTGAAAATGAAGTCAAGACATTTTGGTCATTGCTTCTTTGCATTTGATTTTCCCAGTGAGCTGTATTGTTTCATTCCGAAAATTAAATTCGATGATTTTTAAAAACTTTTCTTGCAAAAATTATTTTGTTTAAAATATTTAAGATGCCGTATTGATGTCGTAAGATTTGTGTCGTATTGAAAAGTCATTGTTCTATTGCATAGAGTTTAGTAAACAAATAAATAATAGCATTTTTTTTATTTATTTATCGTTGAAGAGAATTTTAAAACAGTACCTATATCGTTCTTTGATGCAACTTTAGATATTCTTGATCGACTAGCCAGTATACTAAGTCCAGAGAAGAATCCCGCAGCATTGCCTAAAAAAATATGCATGTTATATCAGAACATAATTTTTTTTAAATAACATAATTACATTAATTTTGAAAGTCACATTTTTTCATAATTGCAAAAAAAGAAGGGTAGTATTTGTTTTTAGTTAACTGAAAAAAAATAGGATCGAAATTATCAGAAGACGAAAAAAATTACCACGTTTCTGGCTCTATAAGAATTCCAAAAAGTTCGAAAATTTTTGCCGAAGCGCTTTGGTACTGATTTTGTTAAATGTAACCATAAAATATGGTTTTATAATATGTTATAAAATTTGGTATTTGTGGCAAAATTTGGTAGTTTAATCAAGAGGCCTTTGAAAATCGCATAAAAACCACTCATCCGGTTGAATTTATTTCAGTTCAGTTATTTTTTAATAAATTTGAGGTAATGAGAGCTATAATTTTGAAAACTTGAATTTTCGGTAAACCGTTTCCTAATGAGTATAAAAATTACCAAATGAATGGTTTAAATACTCGTATAATTAGGTTTTTATTATCAGAATTATTATAATTTTTTTTATCAGAAATGTCAATACCATATGGTACGGTACTTGTTTTAGTACTGAGACTACGGCAGTTTTACAATAATTACAACATTATATTTTACTGTCAAAACGGATTTTGCGGATGATACCCCCAAAGTGCCGGTACTTTATACCATAATTCAATCCGGACTTTTTTTACAGTGTAGTGGAAATGAAACAACGGTTATTAGCACAGTTGATTTGCTAATATTATATTTGATTTTTTATTTATTCACTTGTTTTGTTAAGCAGCTAATTTCTTTTGTTTTCCATTATATGAACCTTTCTTTACAAGAGTTTTATAATTTTGAAATGCTGAAAATGAATAATAATTTTAAAAAATGCATGTCTTAATGCCATTTAAAAGTAATGAAATGAAATTTTTATTAAGCATACTATTTCATTATATAAACACAATACAATAACAAGGCAAATTTATTACTATTAAACATTAATATTATTATCAGAATTTTCAAAGCGATTAACGCCTGTTTTCCATCTTTATTTTCGTAATGATAAAAAATTTAAGGCTATTATATAAATAAAAAAAAAGGTTTCAAACTATTGTTTTTGAGATTACATTGTTCTATTATTATTATGAAACCAACCGTATCAGAGAATAATTACGGTTAGTTTCATAATATTTATGTTCAAAAATATGTTATTTAGTCAAACAATTAATTTAAAAGAATTAAATATTAATATCGTCAATAAATTGCCACTTTTTGTTTAGTTGCATGTATAAGCATTTTCAGCATAAATACTCAGAATAAGATAAATATTTATTCCTGTTTCATTAAATCAGTAAATTTTGCGTTAGTTATTATAAAATAACTTTTATAACTCCGAATTTTTTTAATGACTATGTTTTTTTACGTGCGTCCATTTTTCCTCATCAACCACTGTGAGCGCACATTTTTTAATAATACCATAGTGCTTTTTTAATTATTTATTAAAAATGTTTATTTTCATACCAAATAAAGAAACTTTTTTGGTACTCTCATTTCTGTTGCTATATTCCTTTGCTATCATAGTTTTATTTCTAAGTAGCCTTACATTTTCAAAATTATGTCGAATTTTTTTACAAGGTATTTTATAAGTGTCCAAAGAAAAAAGGATAATCTTTGTTGTACATTGTAAAATATTTCAGATAAAATTACGGTCTAAAGTACCGGCACATCCGTAAAATCCATTTTCTTCTAAAATCCCTTTTTTCGTAAAATCCAGTTTTACCGTAAAATATCTTACAGTAATTTTTACAATAATATGTATTTAATTAGAGCGATTTAGTGACTTTTTGGTAATTATTGCTGAAAAAATTACGGTAGATTAGAACTTCTTGTTCCATAACTAATTCCAGTAAAAATGAATTTTACGATAAAAATATCTGGCACCCTGAGTGCCGGCACTTTTTACAGTAATTTGCAAAATTTTACAGTATGGATTGATTGCCGATTATTTTATCGTAATTTTAGAATGAAAATTCCATCAGCGTGTTTTCTCAGTACATAAAGAGTATCTTACCAAAGAAGTAAATTTCCTTAGTTCCTGCTACTCCTATTGATATATTTTTTGTAATTAATGATATACTCCCAATTAAGCCGAGTGTTGGATCTCCAATTTTATACTTCTTAAGTACTGGGACAGAAATCAACATGACGAATGTTCCAACTAGTGCAAAAATAGATGATACTGTTGAATATCTTGTATTGTTCCAATCAAATAGATGATGAACGTACAAATAGTTGATTCCTATTGTTGCTGAAAAATAATTATAATTAAAATAAGGAGAACTGGAAACTATTATTTAATATCATGAATTTAAATTTATGTAATTTAAACTAAACTATCAAGCATCAAAAATGACTTATTAAAATGAATAAAATTAAAAAAATTTTGTTTCAAATTTCGCTTTATCTAAAAAGAAGGACTAACCAGTTAAGAATTTAAGTTTAATTTATAATGCCTTTATAAAGTTATATATTAGATTTTATGTTTTTTTTTCAGTAGACTTCATATATTGTGCTTTTTTAGATTTTATTTATCGTATTTCTTTCTAAGTTCATTTTAGTTATCTTTGTGTGGGGGTGGGAACAGAGAAAACCTTTCATATCGAGACGCTAAACGAGTTATATATTTCGGATTCGTTTAAATCAAGGTAAGCATTTCGTCCAAAAGAAATCTATTATTTAAAAGGCACTGGTTGAAAGTGGAAAAAATATATTTCTGGGTTAAATATTAATTCAAAAACTATTCCGTTGTTAAAATTTTTCACTTAGTTTAACTTTTAGATTAAATTCTGTTAAGGCCATTGAATTTTTTAGCAATTTTATTTATCAAATTTTTCAGAATAAATTTTCGTTTCTTATTTAATTAGTTTTTTTCTGATTTTTTTAACAATAAAATTAAAACTAGTTTCCCTCCCTAATGTTATATTATTATTATTATTATTATTAAATTCTAAGCAAAATACTCTAAAGCTAGTAAAATGTAAAAAAAAAAATTGATATAAAATTTATAGTCAAAAACTTACAAGTTTAATTTTTTAAAATAAAACTTGTAAGTTTGCACGATTTTTAACTCAAATATTAAGAAAGCTTTTAAGTTTTTCACCACTCAAGCAGTATTTTTTAAAAATTTTATAAAATTAACCATTGATATAAAATTTAAAACTGAGCATTTTGCAAGCAAAAGTTTGCCCGTTTTAAAATTCTAAATTTACTTCATAGACTGTAATTTACTTACTTATAATTTCATGATTACTAAGTGGATATGTAAATAGAAGAAGTATTTCCGTACTTTTAGGATGCTTTAAAAATACAGTAATGTTAATATAGTTTTTTAGCACATATTTTTTATGTAACTAGCACTAAAAGTAACAGAGATATACTTAGTTTTTACTAATTAAATAATACTTACAAGCAAAGCTAAATACATCAAGACTCATTACCGTAATTAACAATAAAATTTGCTTTCTTCCTTGATTCGGACGCTTTTTGATAGTTGCTTTGAAACTTTCCACAAGCCTTTGCGGTGACCACAAACTTAAGATTTTCGTTTTCCAATGGTCTTTATTATCCAGACCCGTTGTTTCTTTGATCATGAACATTACCCATGTTAGTGCCAGCACATGACCCATTGTAGAAATCAGAAAAACATACGTATAACCCAAATATTCAAAAATAAATCCACCAGTAAGCGTGCCCAATGGCCTAGATAATCCAAAAGTAACCTCCATTATGGCATATTTAATAGTTCTTTTACTAAATGAAGTCGTATCGGAAGCGTAACTGAAAATAACAGTTAGTACGCCAATAAAGCCTCCAGTTAATCCACTAAAAATTGCTGGTAGAAAATAGAATTCTATCCTGCTGTAGAACAGTGCAGCACAGACTGTGCTGCCTAAGCCATCCAAAATGAGTCCGAGAACCGACATTATGAGTGGAATCTTCCTGCCGTATTTGTCACTCCATGATCCTATAAAGCAGGCTAGAATGGAAGATGGAATCATACCGATTAAAGAATGTCCGAGAGAATAGTTATTGGCCAGTTTCTCAACTTCAATCTTAATGTCCTTATAGGCCGAGAGATTGTTACACACTTCTTGTGAATATCCCAAATGAACGATGCATGCTTTGTCTATCATCATTGTTGTTGAAGAAACATATCGCATTACGGTTGAAAACATGTAAAGAAACATGAATACTTCTAACTTCAAGTATCCTATATCTTTGCAGAACGAAGCAGATTTCGTTGCTAAGTGGTTCAGTGTATAGCGCGTTCCGCTGTTTGAGGCATTTTGCTTTTTGATGAAATAGATATCAGATTTACTGTCAATCGAGTGAAGATCGATTGTTTGCAACACTTTAACGTTATTAACCTGGCTACTTTCTGAAGTCATTTTGAGAAAATATTGGCATAGACTGAATTATCCAGCGGAAGTTTAAGCAGTTCGTTTGATTAAATAGCAAGAATTTTCTTGCTCTCCATCTGGAAGTGAATATGAATATTAATAAGGAGGTTAGGAAAAGTAGTATCCAATAAATACAACCAATAAAAGTAACTTAGCTAAATAATAATATTAATTTCGCATCCTTTAAAATGTAGCTATTCAGGGTGTTGTGTATTTACCACCCTTAATATATAAGTTTTTTAAAAAAATGAAGGGCAATTAATGTTTAAACGAGGGAAAAGTAAAAATTTTATTAAATTTAATGCGTCGCTAACGAGGAAAGTGGAATGAAAACCCTCAAGATCAGTTTGAATATCTCAATTAACAAATATCGAGATTGACTTAGCGTTTGGTACCAAAAACACTTAGTTCCGAAATTGAAATATTAATTACTTTTTTTCTTTTACATGCTTTATGTTATTTTTTTTTACTGAAAACATATACAAATAATTTTTAAATTATTGGATATTTTAAAGCATAAAAAAATGTTTTTTTTTAAAATTGATTTCAGTGCTATTTTGCTCTCTACCTATTCAGAATAAATTAAAGAAAGCTATTTGTTTAATTTTTTTAAATTTAGAGCCGTATGAATATTCAAAATTTTTTGAAGGTACATGGGATTTTTTTTTAATTTTCGTAAACATTAACTTACTTTTTCGAAAAAAAAATTATGTTTTTAAATAAATTAGTCTTTATAATTTTTTCTGCATAATAAAATTACTTGCTGTTGATTGAAAATAATTTACAAGATATTTGCACAAAGTAAAATAACAATAAAGTCAATTTGTATAGTTTTTTACATATAGTAAAACTATGTATCTGTATGATTGCAAGTTTACTTGTCGATTTGTAAGCATACGGGGTGAATTATAGCGTTAAAAATTTCAAAAGATGATAAAAATGCCTTGGAACGTTAGCATTTTAAGAAATGAATTCAAATTTTTGATAAATTTGATTTTTTGATTTTCTTTCTAAGAGTGCCTAAATCATAAGGGGATTGAAAATGAAGGAGTTAATTTGGGCGACTGCCAAACATTTTCTTCGTCTTTAGGATAAAAACTTTGGATTTGTTAGATAAACTATTAATATTTTGATGACTCCCGCACATGTATTTTTCTAATTTAGCCATTCTTCTGATTTAGACGTTCTAGGATTAACCATTTAAGAGATTACTTAAAATTTTTGTTTTTCATTGTTTAAATAATTAATGTTAAGAACATTGTTATAATTTGAATGCGTATGGTTTCGATTTCAATTTTATAAAAATGATTATACTAACATAGCAATGCTTAACATAAGTAATATTTTCTCATTTGTTTTCTTACCATCTTCGAAAAAATATACCATTCTATAAAAAGGAGTTTAGAGTTAAGAATAAATATTTTTTAAAATATTTACTTGAAAGGTGAATTTGGGTAAGATTTGAGAATGAAGAACTTGGGACAAAAATGGTGCATTGTTTTTTGATAAGTGATTTTTACAAGTTAATTTTGAGCTATATGAAATCAAAGCACTTTGCATGCTGCTGCCGAAAACAGCAAGGCTCTTTTCAGTAGGTATATTTGGATGCTGATTTTTTTTATTCATGCTAAATGCTGACAAAAGCAGCAGGGCTGTTACCAGCAGTTACATTTTAAAAGCGAACTAATTATTCATCGAAAATTGCTTTTGATATTTCAAGTCAATATAATATAGTGTTAGCACAAATGAATAGCCACATTTTAAGAGTTTATAGTTTCGAATTAATTACACATAACATCCTAATTGATGCTCGAATTTAAAGAAAAATGTTCATAGTTTATTCCTCCCTCAATTATTTATGCTCAATGTGAGTTACACGACAACTGTCTAATTTGTAATCAAATTACTCTAGATGGTTCATAATGCTGGACAAATGCGTCCCTCGAGTTTTTGCAGTGTTTTCGGCATCCATTACTTACAGGATGTTCCGTAAATGTTAAGACAAACTTCTAGAGCTGGTAGGGAACATCATAAGGATTAAGAATCGCAAAGGAACCCATGCCCGAAAATGTCAATGTAAGCCGCTAGGGGTGCTATACTATTTTGATTTACTTCTTCGTTTGCTTTTAAACAGGTACTTTCATTTTTCTAAATAATGAAGAGACTAAATTATAATTTAATGTTTTCTCGAGTTTATCGCCTAATCATTAAATTACTAAATTCCTGCGTCTATTTGAAGGTGATTCTCGACAATATTTATTAGAAATATAAAATTAAGATGAAATATGATAATTTTGAATATTTAAAGTTCCTATTTAATAGCACACGAGGAAATAGTTTAAAATGTAGCTGAAATCGGGAGAAAATTATTTCGCCTCAAACATACGTATTCGCTTGAAATGTTGAGGAAATCAAATGTATTCTTCATAAACAACCTCTCTTAGTGGATTGCTCTAAAGTAGATTTCTATCAACCTCAAGTGTCAGTAAAACAACTTCATACACCTTGATTATAAACCATGAGAAGTTGATTTTTTGCAATTGCTTTTAAAGTCAACTTTAAATAAACCACAAAAACATCATACATTTTTGTAATCTGTTTAATTTGATATCTGTGCGGGAGAAAAGTAATTAACCCTCCAAGAGTTGAGTTCTTCTCAAAATTGCATGAAAATTTCCCTGCTACGCGATATTGCATTGAATAACATGGAGTAAACCGATTTTTGGTTCAGGAAAGCCTGCAGCTAAAAGTTCGGGAAAAGCTAAGACTAACGCTTAGACGGCTAGTCATGTGGCCACCAAGATTCCCAGACCTTACGCCATGTTTAGGACTGGGCGATATAAGAAATTTTATATCGTGATGCATCGTCAGTTTTGCATTGCGATATAGTGATGTATCGCGATATAGTATTTTTGAAATTTATTTACTTATTAGGCGCAGAAAGTCGGATTTCTATCAAAACTTCATACTCAGATTGATTTAAATCAATTTATGAATTTGATGTATATGTATTGCTTAAGAAAGATAATAAAATTATATTTTCTAAAAATGATCGCTCAAATAACGAAAGATTTCTTAGCTTAAAAATAAATAATAAAAAAATAAATAAAGTTGAAATTTATCAATATATTTACCTAATAATATAGAAGGAAAATTTAAAAAATAAGTTCGTTAAAAATTATTTGTATGCTTAAAACAAACTGCTAAATAAATTAAACAAAAAAAAACACTTTTATAACAACACTATTTTTTATCGTTATTATTTCACATAAATAATAAAGTTAAACGGAATAATTAATGAATCCTGAAAGAAAAAACAAGTAAGGTTTAATTTCTTAAAAATAAAAACAAAAGAATTATGATATTCAATTATATATTCAACTGTCAATCTTGCAATAAAATTAAAAAACACGATTATACTCTTTAATAAAACGAAGTGCTAAATGATTTTAAAAAGAGAAGTCGCGATCGCAAACATTACTAATTTTTTTGAGTAAACAAAGTTGATTGACTTATGTCCAAATCCTAAAGAGGAAAAATAAGTTTTGTTATAATTTCATTTATAAAAATGAAAACAACTAAATTTAAAGTCATTAATAAAAACCCATTAAATTATTATTTTGTTCAAAAAGTTTTTAATAAATTAAAATAAAGTAAAAAATAGCCTAACAAATTTAATTACTTTTTATTTTAATTATTTATAGGCACCTTAAATTAGATTTCCGTTTATAATAAATTCAATAATGTAAAATAATACTTAAGCATGAAATATCAAAATTAGTTTTCACATTTAAAAATAAAAAAGAAAGTTTTGTTTCAAAAACAAATTTACCTAATTAATTAAGAAACACTTCTTTATATATTCTTTTCAATAATAGATTACGTTCAGAACAAGGTAACGACGATCACAAAGTCAGTCCCACAGAAAATAATCTACACGAAACGATATCAAGTCGCGACAAAGAAGTAAAAAAAAAAACTAAGAGGTGCGGAAGCGAACATGCGAGATCACGATCTATATTCTCAAAACTGATTCTGATTCTACCGCTCATCAATCAAGGCCGTTTCAATATAACGATACGTACATCGTCTTCCCCAGCGCGAGTTGGCATCGGAAGAGATACTTGCGTGTCTTGTATCGCTATATCGTTCGTCTTCTTTACTCGACGGCTTAAATCAGATTTCTGATGCATCGCCTGGAACGAAAGTCGCTGTATCGGCCTGCCGATACAGGCGTTAAATCTATATGTCGTGATATATCGATTTTTAGCCCAGTCCTAGCCATGTTACTTCGTTTTACGGGGTTACGTCAAAAACATTGTTTATAGAGCATTCATGTCAAAAACACTACAGGAATTTAACCCGTTTGTGTGGTCTTTAATACTATTAAAAATTCGAAACTACGAAAAGTATGGAATGAACCCTTATATAAAGAAGCCTATAAAAAATAAAGAAGCCTTATAAAGAAAATAAAGAAGCCTTATATTTAAATGATATTATTAAGTAAAAAGATTTTCAAATGTTTGCAGAGTTTAGCGGAAGAACACATTTTAAATGACAACTAGAAAACTTTAAATATTTTTCTATAAGATTATTATAGTCGGTTATTATTATAGAATACAAATTTATTCTTTCAAATCTTTTAATTTGTGGTTTTCATTGGAAAAACAATGTCTTCATGTATGTATAGTACACATTTTAAATTTAATTTTTCTCAAATTTATTAAAATGTTGCTTAATATGTTTTTATCCCAATGAATCTCTTATTTCTTGGATATTAAATGAAATGAAATTCAAACGATGACAGCATTTCTGTACTGGTTGAAATTAATAATTATTAAGGTTGATAAATTATAGAATAATGGTGCTTACCAAGTTGGCTTATTTTCAACATACGAGCAAAGCTTGTTTTCCTGTATCTTTCTACTAATCGATAAATCATTTTTATAATAATAGCAATTATCAGTCGCATCATATCTATTCTTTATCAGAATGAAATGTTTATAATCTATCTAAATTTAAATAACGTTTTTCTTTACGTGTAATAAACATTTGTCAGCATAGTAAACAGCAACGGTTTTCTACAACGATTTTCAACAGCGGTTTTCAACAGCGGTTTTAAAGAACGCTTTTCAACAACGGTTTATAAAGTAAAATAAAACGAAATTGGGTACCCGCAAACCCAGAAGAAGAAGATCGCGAAACGCAGCTGGTTGTGTACAAATAAGAGGGCGTGTTAACGTTACAGCCATTGTTCTTGGTCTTCCTGAATTAATTTATGGATCAAATATTATTGGGTACCTGCCAGTGACGTAGCGAGTGCGTACCAACACTGGTTAACTGCTAAATCGCGGCATAAACAAATGCAACGATGTAGCAGTGCATTTTAGAACGATAAAGTTTTATTAAATACTAGTTATTTTTATGGCCTTGTATTGCTCAGTTCCCTTAATACAATGCTTAGGGTAGCTATAAAACAAACCTACTTGCTTTTCGACAAAAAAAAAAGATTTTTCTTCTTTCATAGTGATTTTTTTTTATTTACATAGCTATTATTGTATGCAATATTATTACCATCCTTTCCTTATATGTTTTGATCAGTCTTTCATTTATGAGTATGCCTAGTGAAAAGTATGTGTTGCGTCTCGAAACATATCAATTGTACTTGACATTACTTTTAAGAAATTTTTGAAGCATTCATGATAAAAATCATGTTTTAGTTTTTGAGGAGTTGGTTCTCATATTTTACAAAGTTATAATTTTATAAAACTTTAGTTGTGAATTTTAATAAATTTCGTGATTTTTTCCCGATTTTTAAGCCCTCATTAAAACTCTGAAATAAATCAAAGCTACTACCGATTTGTTATAAAAATATTTCCTAGTTGAATGAATTATAACGCAGGTTATTTCAAAATTATTGAGAACAATTTTCTGTGTAAAAAATAATGATTCTTATTACAATAATTTCTGTGGGGTTCGCGTATTCATTTGTATTGTATTATAACATTAATATAATATTGCAATATTAATATATGTAATATTGTAATATTAATATAATATTGTAATATTAATGTAATGTTGTAATTTTAATAAAATAATATTTTAATAAAATAATATTTTAATAAAATAATATAATATAATTTAATGTTAAAAATATTTTACTGATTGATGCTGGGTAATTCTTTTTTAATTTTAATTTAACCATCAATAATAAAACGAAAATTATTCCATATCAAAAAGCTAATGTATTGAATAATTTAGTTTCCTTCAGAAATGCAATAAAAAAATTTATTGATTTTTTTCTTTAATAAACCGCAAAATACTGGTGTTGTTTGGAAATAAAAAGACAATCAAAATAATATCATGAGACTTCTCACTAAAAATGCTTTCTATTGTTTACTGGAAAATTGCAGATTTACCTGTTTTATCTTTGACAGATTATCTAAATACTCATATCTGACCATGGTTCTCGATGCTGTTATATAAATGTTTTCTATGTCAGATGGTTTATAAATAAATAAAATTGATCAATCAATTTACAATAATTTTAAAGTAACTCCCTTAGTTTTTGGTAATTTCTCAGTTTCATAAAATTGCTTTTAATGGCTATTAATAATCTCAGAAATTTAATTACGAGAATCGTTCTCTTGTAAAGGTAATTCAGTTTTGCAATTTTTAAAAAGTTGTTTTTAGTTGAAAAAAAACAGTATTGCTTAAGAAAGATAATAANATATATATATATATATATATATATATATATATATATATATATATATATATATATATATATATATATATATATATATATATATATATATATATCCACAATATCTTAATGATATCAGACAGATATTTGTAATTTTCCAGAATAAAGAATAAAATACAGATAATTTGCAGAATAATGAAAGAAAAGATATTTTTCAAATTGTTTTTATTTCGCGAAAATTTTTTCTCCCAAAAATGTAAATAATTGCAATACAATATTAATTGTTAAAACGAAATAGGAACAGATAGAGCAATATTATTCAAATGTAGTGACAGTGATATCATATTTTCAATTAGGGCTTTCGTTGGGCTCACAGGTAAAATCTATCTCAAGTAACACAAAATATGCGTACAATATCTAAATGATATCAGACAAATATTTTTAATACTCTAGAAACAAATTCATGTTATCTTTAGATAGTTGCCAAAATATCTCTTTTCCCATTTTCTTCTTCAAAAGTTTCAATATTTACAATTTAATATTACAATATTTTAAGATAAAATTAAATAAGAACAGACTTCCTAAATATTAGAATAAATGTCTAATTAGTCAAATATCATTTGAAATGTCTAATCAAGCTGTCTTTCATGGATCTCGTTCAGTTTTCAAAAAGAAAAGTATCCCAATAAATAAAAAATATCTGCAGAATATCTGAATGATTTTAGATAGATGCTTAAAAGGTTTGAAAAATAAATTCAGACTAAATTATTATCAAGCAATGTTTTTTTCGATTCTTTTCATCAAGAATTTAATTTCCTCCCAAAATTTATGTAATTACGATATAAATCAAGTTATCATAGGTTTAATGAAATCAGAAAAGAGTTAAATATTATAGCAATATCATTCAAATACCGTAAAGATATATGAAACTTGTCATTATAATTTTTATTAAGATTATAAATAAACATATTTCGAAGAACAAAAAAAATCGCACAATATCCAATTGATATCAGACAAATGCTTGTATTATTTCAGAAACAAATTCTTAGATAAAAAATAAAACGATTTTTGGAAAAGTTCAGGTCTAAAAACTCAACGAGGGTATAAAGACCTATTTTCAGGGTGTTCTTTGCAAAAATTTATACGTAAAATGGCTTACTGGGAAATACGATATTGATGTCCACAGATAACATGCTATTCAAATCTTTTTCTCTGCATCTCTTCCTAAAATTAAAATTCAAAAAACTTATTTTGAACTGATGCAAAAAAAAGGAAAAAGCGAATTTTTTGGAAAATACAGATACAGAGGAAGGTCAAAGGTATTTGCACCATTTAGCGTGTTCTTTGAAGTTCGTTTGCCAGGGTAAATAAAAAGTCTGTTAGTGTCTTAAGCTCAGATAAAGCTTTAAATTCAAATTTATATACCATATTGCTGAAAAAAAATTGACTATACTTTTAAAGGGAAAAATAAATTATTAAGCCTTTAAGAACTGCTAAATTATAATAAATTTTTAAACTCTTTTTAAAACTATCGGCAACTATGCAAAATATTTCTACCGAAATGAAAAATTTTAAAACTCAATGTATATTTCACAAATTTTTCACGTGTATAATGACCCAATACAGTGCAATGGATGAGAAATTTTGAAATTATTAAAAATTTAGATAGAAGACCCTTTTTATTTAAAACGCAGTTTTATTTCATAAAAACACTCTGCATCATATCTTTAATCAACATAGAAGATATTGCTTAGAGATGCACAAAAATTCAACCTAAAAGTAATGGTTATCTGTTATGATCTCACATTTCAAAAATTCAATGAACTTGCAGTTATTGCGTGTATATTTGTCACGTGTACATGACCCAATACACTGCAATGGCTGAGAAATTTTAAAATTATTAAAAATGTAGATAGAAGACCCTTTTTTATTTAAAAAGCAGTTTTATTTCATAAAATTATTCTGCATCATATCTATAATCAGCATAGAAGATATTGTTAAGAGATGCACAAAAATTCAATCTAAAAGTAACGGTTATCTGTTACGATCTTGCACTTAATAAAATTCAATGAACTTACACTTAATAAGATTCAATGTATTATTCTCAAATTTTACCTGTCTTTAGGAGCCCATGCAGTACAGTAGTGGAGAAACTTCATGATTATTATAAATTGCGATTGGAAATCCTTTTCTTTAAAAAAGTAAATTAATTTCATATTAATATTTTGTGCTGTTTTTATAATCAAAACTGAGGATGATGGTTAGAGATGAGCAAAATGCAACAGTTACTAACTCACGACAGTTATAAAAATCGCATAATATTCCTTAAAAAGATTTATTTATCGATTGGCTTAAACACAACCAAAGGAGGGATTTAAGTAACTTAGTTTCAATTATAAATTCAGTTTTAGATAAATATTTAAATACATGCTTGAGTAAGAAAATATTTTTATTAATGATGTTAAAATACATAGTTAAAAATATGATGGACTACATGAAAAAATACTGATGTCAATACTAATAAATAACAAAAATTGAACATTTAAAAGTTTCAGAGCTTCATTATATTCTATACAATAAACAGTTTCATACAAATGAATATAAATATTATTGCACTGATATATTTGAAAACTCATTTTAAGCATCGACCTTAACACATATTTCTCGGTTTTGTTCGTTGTTTCCATGTATTTCTTCGTAACTGAGATTTGGCAGGCAGGTTAACCATCTGAAAAATAAAAAAATAATTATAAACTATTGATTAGAACGTCTTCAAATTCTCCAATTTATAAGATATCTCAAATTAACAATATCTTTATGATAGATTCAGAATATGTATGTTTTTAATTGTTTTTTTATATACATATATGAACTGTTCCCTAATTACTGAGCTTAATATATACTTTTAAAATCCTTGTCAAAAATCAAATCAATTAAAAAACTACTGCACATTAGGGTTCTCAAGTTATTATTTAGGCCAGAAAAAGAACTCGATTCAAATCCATTGACTACGTTGACAGAACATGTTTAAGTACATGACGAAATCGAAATAAGTTGAAAATTGTTTAAAAGAAACAACCACAAGTTTCATATGACGATCAAACCTGTTTAGATATCATTTATTCAACATTCTTCACAAGAAAATCAGCAGAATTTTATAATGTTTTACTTTATTCTAGTTTAAATATTAATTTACTATTCAAAACGTGTGTTTTTTTTTTACTTTAATAGTTTTTGCAATGTTGCGTTTATACAAATTTTTGATCTTGTCTGATTCGAGAATGAGAATTTCAAATCTGAACTTAGTTTTGCTTCTAAAACAACAAATTTTTAGTGTGGTTTTTGTCAAAATGTACAAGTTTAATGATATCATGTAGCGAAAATGTTTCAGAGGAGTTTGGACACACTATTAAAATTAAAATCGCATAGGAACCCATGTGCGGAAACTTCACAGTACGTGGCTATGAGTGCTTCTCTATAATGACCTGTACAGAAGCAGTAGAAGAAGCAGAAGAAGCAGATAATAATTAAAAAGCACTCCTAGCGGCACATTGCGACATTTTTAAGCCTGGTTTTTCGTGGTATTTTAAACCTAATGATGTGCCTTAACTCCTTTGGAAGTTTGTCACAATAGTTTTGACACTCCCTGTTATATATAATGTTTTTAAACTTGTGCATTATGACAAAAAATAGACTAAAAATGTCATTTTAAAAAAACTGTAGCTTGGAGAGAGAAATCAATTTCAGATTTAAAATCTGTGACTTAAAAGTATCCAAGATCCGTTAAAAAATCTCATGTAACAGAAAATATTGCTCCCCAGTGTTATTTTTCATCTGAACTTTCTTTTAAAATGTAAACATATAACCGGGAAAAAAATACTAACGTTTCTGAACATCTCTGAATTTCTTCCAAATAAAATTTAAAAAGATGAATTCAGAGATTACCGCAAAGAAAAAAAAATAACGAATATTTTTTCTGCTACTTGATTGCAGTCTTATCTGTATGTTCTTTTTTTCTTCTTTTTTTTTTCTTTTTGAAAAAAAATTTTTTTTTTTAGTATCATTGCATAAAATTCAACTTAAATTTAAACAACATTAAGTTTTTATCAATCATCTTTAAGGACATTATATTTGCAGATTTTGTTACATGTCAGTTAGATTAAGCAAAAGTTTCACAATGTCATTTTTCGTTTGACTGTTTTGCATTCACAGACTAAATTGGATCTATGAAAATAGTGCTGCAGGTAAATTCATATGCTAATTTCGATTCATTATTTTTATCTAATTCTACAAAAATAATCACAATATAACTTTAAAAAGTTTTAAAAAATGTGAATTAAAAATAGTGTGATTCATATCAACTTACATGAAAACGCTGAATGGGATGACAAGGAATATTGCGAGAACAATGTACGCCATTCCAGGAAATATTTCGAGAAATGCGTTGAAAATCTGAGAAATAAGAACAGTAGTCATGACGGGAAGTAATGATTCTGCTGTTGCTACGAATGAAAATACTTTCCCTAAAAGAGAAACAAATACCAGACGTTAGTTTCTGAAAAGTATATTTTTAAAGATAAAAATACATTTTTTTATATTTTATTTTTATAACCGTCGTTGAACAGCCGGCAAAATGTTGGGTTTGCGACTACTAATGTTCACTTCTGTAGCCTTGTAATTTTGAACCCAATCCAGGATGAAGTATAGGAAGAAATTTGCCTCCGTTGGAGAAGTTTTGATGAAACTAACCCGTATTTGTGTTACATGGAGAGGAACACCACGAAAACCTCCTACGGTTAGCCGGATGGCAAGGGGACTCTAACCCATGATCCGTCTACCACTGAGGATATTTCATGCCAGTAGAGTGGTCGGTGATAGCCGGGTTCGGAATTTGAATCGACTAACCATCGGTGGGATTCGAACGGCTCAGAATTATAATTTGTAAAATCTGAATAATGGAAATGTGAATAACTTGGTTTACAACCAGAAATTGTTGTTTTTGTTATTTTAATTTCTTTTCTGATCAGCATATAGAGGGTAACGATTTTTAAGTATGACGATTTATTTCCATATCATAAAAAGCATGTTGAGCTCATCAAGGGTAAATTTGTAGATTCTCCAACTTGTATTAGGAATGTTTTTCAAGACACTCATTTTTGTTTCAGGAATGATTTTGTTTCAGGAAAAAAAAAAGTCTAAATCAGAAATTTCTATCTCAAGATTAAATTATTCAATTAGTTTTTAAGTGATTGCAATAATTCAATGAATATGTAAATGAAGGATTGCTTATCCAAAAACAGAGTGACAGTTTTAGAGTAAATGAATCTCTCTGGATGTTAAGAAACATTTAGAATCTATGGAATGTCCTTAGGTCAAGACTTTTCAGGATGAAAAAAACGAATTTTTTTTGTTGATGAAATTAAAGTCAGAAGAATTTTAGTGCTGTCAGAAATTTCTCAGGAAAAAAATGACTAAATACTAATTTTTAAATTGGTTTTTAATCATATTCAAGCAAAAGAGTTAATTAACCATAAAAAATGTCATTAAAAATATTAATTGTGAGAAAAATTGTTCATTCACTACTTTCACCTCATGCGGTTAACAACCAGGTTTAACAATTTTCTCTGTGCCAACTTGGCAAACAAGTTATGAGAATCAAGCGCACAATCATCGAGAGCTGGAGAGCTAAGATTTGTGAAAAGGATTGCGAATCCATATTTTTATTTTCCATCTTTGGATCACTAACAACTGTTGTAATGAACTGTTGTAATGAAATGTTGTAATGTAAAGTCTCGTAAAAAAATAAAAATATTTTTCATTAATGTCATATTGTGTCAAACATACTGTATTTCCTTGTTTAAACTTTTTTTTCAAATACAATTAAATGTTTTTCAAATCTGTTTAATCCTCCATTTCGTTACAGCTATTAACAAAATGTTGATACAGATAATTGTGTACATTATTACAACACGTCCTTCAAGTGCGAAAAATAGGAACTTTTAAAAAAACAAAACAAAATAAAGATGAATGCTAAGTATTTACGGAGAATGGGGGGCTGATAAGCGGAACCTCTTATTAAAAAAAAAGTAAAATTTAATCGTAGTCCTTAATCATATTCTTGTCATGAAAAAAAGTACCTTACAGTTAATGTTAAACAGTATATTACCTATATCATCATTTGAAACAACTTTTGATATTCTAGATCTTGCTGCCAATGGAGCACAAGCAGACAATAAACCAAGTAAGTTAGCTAAAAAAGAAAACAGAACATGTAAAAAGTAATATGTAAAGTGCGGCTTTAATTTTCCCTAACAATTTTAATTACGTCAGAAAATATCACGGGTATTGGTATATAATATGGTATATAAAATATTATATACCATTTGAAAGATTTCGAAGAAATAATACAATACAAATTTTATATATTTTTAAATTTTAATTCATATAAATTTATAAAAATTTAGTTTACTTTTAATTGTTTGTTATTAAGTTTGTTCGCTATTTGTTGTTTAGCTTGTTATTTTCATTTGAAATTAAATTTTTTTTGACTGTTTTTAAATAATATAATAAAAATTATAAATTGATATTGAAATATTTTTAGCTGTAATTATATTTGGATAAATAATTTTTAAAATTGTGTGCAATTTTTTTAAAAATAAATTTGTTAGTTTTGGACATGTTGCGGCGGAACTCGGAAAAAAGTGAAATTAATATTAAGGGGTCCCAAGCTTTCGTCCGCTCTTCTGACAAAACTATTGGAGCAGTATTTTGAATTTTTATTACCCCATAATTTTAAGGCTAGGAATCCAAATCTGTCTAACTATTGGTGCAGTATTTTCAATTTTTACTACACATAATTTTAAGACCAAGAGTCCAAATCTGTCAAGAAAAAAGAAGGTAAATTTGGTCAAAGAAGTCCGTTTTTGTGTCTGATTTTATGAGTTAAAACAGCCTCTGCACAAATTAATTCGCAAATTAAGAGTTAGGCTGCCGAACCATCTAGATGGAGTACTAGAACGTGAAAATCGCTACATCAAAAGTAATTTAAGGTGTTTACTTTTTTAGCGCATAATAAAATTTTAGCAATACAAAGATTTCTGTATTGAAGTGTTAATTCGCAATACTCATTAATTCAGATTTTTTTAGCTTATTGCTGACTTCAACATTTTAAAATCTTGCTCCTTTCTCAAATATTTTCGATAAACACTGATTGGTTTACAAAAATTTTAGCAATATAAAGATTTTTATATTGAAGTCTTAATCCGCAATACTCTTGAATTCAGATTTTTTGAGTTTTACTGTTGATTTCGACATTTGCTCCTTTCTCAAATATTTTGGTTTTACACTGGGAAACAAATTTTTTATTGTATTTATGCAAGGTCTTGATCAGACCAAATACGAGTGAGGTGATTTCAAATATGAAATTAGTTTTGATCTGAAAAATACAGATTATTTTCAAAATAGTACTTTTAGTTTAATTAAGTTTATAAAGAATGCATATATATTTTTTCATGCATATACACTCGGCCGCTCCTTTGAAAATAGCACTTGAAGCAAAAAACATGTCACGCTAGCATATCTCATCGTAAAGCAAAACGTATTATCGTCTTTTTCTACCACTCCCTACGCAACAAAGAAGTGGGAACACCTAGTTGTCGTTTGAGTGAATTTGAAAAAACTTGGTTTTAGGAATATATTATTACACTGCATAAAAACTGTAGCTTTGTAGCTTGCAGAGAAAAACCGATTACAGATCTATAATCAGCGAAGCGAGAATCAAAACTCTTATAAATCAGAGATAACCAAAAAAAAATGTTTCTTAATGTTATTTATAAAATTTGTTCCAATTTTAAGAGCTCTATGAAACAGAAGTTTTACATCAGTGTACAGATATGCATCACGGCTGATGGACGTTACTTCAAAACACTTTAATTGGGTACGGAATTACCACAATTATTTCAGTAGTTCAAGAGCATTCTTAAGAACATTAAACAATATTTCGAAAGAGTAATAATGAAATACATAAGTCTCAAACACTCTTTTGCTTTATTATCTTTCAGGCAAATCGAAACGTTATAGTACCAACATTATATGTAGAATTTGACAATTAATTTACTTTAAATGTATGCAATTTTAAGTGTCTTTAAATGCAGTATTTGGCCGAGAAAATATATAACTTCGAACTAAAATATCTTGCGTTAGTTAAAGTAGTTTTAAGTCATATTATAAATGAAATTACAGAACTATTAACTTTTCAAAAATTAGTACCCTTTAGCCGAAAAAAGACTATTTAAATTAAACGAAAAATTATTCTATTTACGTAAATCCATCTTTATAATGCTCAAAATGTTCTTAAAGTACTACACTAGGTACATAGCTAAAAACATATGCCATTGCTTCAAAACAAAAATTATGCAAATATCAGATGAAAATATAATGTCAGAATTCAGAATTAATAGAATATTAAATCCCCATACTAAAATGATGTTTAAGTGGTAAGTTAAAGTACTTAAAAATAAACCTTCAAAGTTTAAATTTATTCGTGATTGTCGTCTCTATTCTAGGAAATAGATATTAATTATATTGCTTTTTGATTTTGTCGTTTGCTTTTGTAAGTTTTTTTCCCTTTCTTTGATTTTACTACTACTTCTCTGAGTTTTATACGTAGTACGAAAAATTTACATAATGCATATATAGAATTAGGCATACGTATTAACGTATGAAAAATATACCTGGACAAAATACAGGATATCCCAAATTAGAATGTCGGTTTTAAAGACTTAGTTCAGGGAAACGGATAAGGCGATTTTTTGCAGCAAATTTATGTGTGATAAGGTATAAATTCCCCCAAGAGTTCCTGTTTTTTCTCTTCAATGGATGGTAATGTAAGTAAGTACACTTTTCAACGAAAAACAACTGAAAATTACATCGCAGCATTTTAAAATCTTTCATTATCAAAAATCATATAGCATGCATTATTCGTGAAACCACCATTATATGTCACAATGCTGTATTATAATAGGAAATTAAAAATTTCATACACCATAATAAAGCTACAGAAAAAAAAAATGGTAGAAAGGAATTACAGTGCCACCTGTCAGAAAACTTTGAATTAAATGCAGGAACTCGTAAAGATACAAATGCTTTGCAGCATGAATTTGCTGCAAGAAATGTTTTCTTAAACAAACTATTTTTATATTATAAATTTTTGATAACTGACTGTTTAAATTAGTTAACTCTGAAATGACATCATGTCTCGCGAAGTTTAATTTTATTGAGACTCTCACAGATTTTTTTTTTGTTAGTTTTTATTAACTACTGTATTGACAAAAATTTTGAATGTCTTTTTATTAATATCAAAATTGAGCATGATCAATAAATCAATAAATTTAAATATGGTTGTAGTCAGGGCTCGAAAAAATTCCCCGCGGACAACGAAATTTTTCGAATCCGACGCCGTTAATGTTCGTGATACATTTTCATTTTTTTTTATCTTTCAAGAGTCTAGAGCAGTGTTTCCCAACCTTTTTTGTGCCATGCCCCACCTAATCCTTTCTAAAATTCTTATGCCCCACATGTAACATATCCATAAACTTTAATATTAAAAAATTGAATTGTTCACTTAAGTAGCTTAAAATATAGGTTTTAGGAAAGAATCACTAGAAAATTGTCAACGAAACACAGTAAGTAAATTTTCAAAACATATAATGAAGAACTAAATTTAAAATCGAAATAATTTTAATATAATCAAATTCGAAATAATTTTAAAATTTTTCTGTAATAATTTAATTTATTGAGATCCTTGTGCTGAATGCTTGATGCACAGAGATTTTATGTTCCAATTTTGCTAGCTCAGTCTCAAGTCTCTCCGTTGTATTACATCCAGGCGATTTCTTTTTTTTACCAGTTACAAAACTAAATCCACATTCAGCTAAATATGTAAATGGAAACTGTAACAATAGTTTTCTTGCACATTTGGGTATTTGATTTCAGTTTCCTCACAAAGCCACGCCATCACTCCTTTTATATTAAATAAAATTTTAAGTGACTCATCATTTTGCATATCTGCGAGTTCTTCTTGATACTGCATATTTGATATATCAGACAAATCCACTAACATTGACTGCATCATCCGTGTTGGAAAATCAATTTGTTTTAAATCAGAAAATGTTTCTTTTAAATCAACCGAAAGAATTTTCAGATCATCGACAATAACAAGTGAAGCGGTATTATTTACTTCACATTTTTGGAGCCAATGAAACTGTTCAAAGTTTTTGTTGTTAATATATTTCTGACATAACTCAATAAGGGTAATGAAACCAAATATCTTCGCTTTTGCATCAAACAGAGTTTCATTTGTTCCTTGAAGTTGCTTATTTAATATAGTTAGTTTCTCAAAGGTACCGGCTAAATAACTCACAAATGCTTTACCATCGACTGTTAACAGATATTCAGGTTCGTCGCCTAAAAAATCGCTAAGTCACGTAATATTTATTGGCCTCGATTATTTAAGAATTTGCTTTTTTCTTTCAATTTTGGCACCGAAATCTAGCATTGAATGTAAATGGCCCGGAGCAAAAGGGTTAAACTCGTGTCGAGTCAATTTTCGAATTGCCCCCCTTAACAATCAAAATGCCCCCCAGTGGGGCGTGGGCCCCACGTTGGGAAACACTGGTCTAGAGCCTCACTTCTAAAATGACCCTCTAATCTAGAATACAGCAAATACAGCAACATACTGGGCAGGGTGGAATTTAGGTTTTCTCTGTCTGGGAGTACTACAGCGGTTGAAAGGGGCTTTTCAGCAATGAACTTACAAAAAAAACACATTACGTACTGGTCTTAAACAAGAAGCGTTAAACGCAATTATGAACATCTACCTAAATGGAAAACCCCTTTTAGATTTCTGTGCAGAAACTGACTTGATTGTGGAACTGGCAAACGTCATATTTTATTCATTTAAAAATCGCAGTACCCTCGGATAAATTGACATTCCAGATAACTTGACTTTTATCATTTAAATTATTTCTTTTATTACTGTATAATGTTATCTGTACTACTAATATTAGTACTAGTTAGTACTAGTACTACTAGTTAGTACTAGTATTCTCGAACTACTAATTCACTGTGCAAATTTATATAAATGTTAGTAATAAATAAGAGAAAATTATATTTTTATTTATTTAGAAGCTACAAGTTAATTTCAAAGGAGGACGGGTAAAATTTCTGAGTTTTTTCGCAGCCCTGGTTATAGTATTAGTTTTATTTACCCTGTGACGGATATATTATATATATTATATCTATATTTAGATATACCGAAAACATTAATAGATAATGGCTTACATTTTCAATATTAAAAAACAGAAACAAATAGATACAGATTGAAAATTATTATAACAGTAAAAATAATTGTAAATCTAAGTAAAAGTATATTTACCTGCATGAAAGACAATTTCTTTAAATGATAAGCCCATTCCAATGAACTTAATTAAGAGTGATGTTGTACCAATGAGACCAAGTTGTGCATCACTTGCTTTAATTTTTTTAAGTAGAGGAAGTATAATAACCAATAATACAAGAGCTATCACTGAATACATTGCTGTTATTGTAGAATATTCAGTGTTTCCCCAGTTGAACTGATGGTGAACGTATAAGAAGTTAATATCACTCGTGGCTGAAAAAATATACGTTGAGCTTCATTATCAATAAAAGTGATTTTTGCATTATAGTTAATAAATAATATATAAATCTTATTGTAATTCTATAACTCTTCATAAATTTTTCTAGGAGTTTATTTTTGTTATTAAAACTACATGGAAATTTGTTTAAAAATTTTTTTGAGGCTCTATGATCCTTTAAGAAATCATGACAAAAATGTTAAACTGATTTAACTCACGATTGAGTATAAAAATGTGCAGAAATTAAGCTATGTTAAATAGAGGAATATATCATACATGGGTAATTTTAAATTTAAATATAAATGCAAAAATATTAATTTTTAAACTATGGGGCGTTTTGACCTATAAAAATACCATAATCCTATCATATTGTTAAAATAAATTAAAAGCCCATATCTGAAATGTTATAGATTTTTTTTTGAGAAATAGTGGGTGATAAATATTTATTGCAAAATAAAAAAGTTCTAATTTAGGAATACTATTGTTACCTTTTTTTAAAACTTTTCCACCCTCCGTTAGTATGAAATTTCATTCTTTATACATCACTTCATAATCAAAACTCATAAATTCAGTTTTCAATGAAAACTTGTAACCAGTTTATCAAAAATTTCGAATTATGGTATATTATTATGGCAAACTCAATGGACTGCGGAATAAAAAAAAAGTTCCAATTTAGGAATACTATTGTTATCTTTTTTCAAAACTTTCTAACCCTCCGTTAGGATGCGATTTCGTTCCTTATACATCACTTCATAATCAAAACTCATAAATTCAGTTTTCAATGAAAACTTGTAACCAGTTTATCAAAAATTTCGAATTATGGTATATTATTATGGCAAACTCAATGGACTGCGGAATAAAAAAAAGTTCTAATTTCGGAATACTATTGTTATCTTTTTTCAAAACTTTCTAACCCTCCGTTAGTATGCAATTTCGTTCTTTATACATCACTTCATAATCAAAACTCATAAATTCAGTTTTCAATGAAAACTTGTAATCGGTTTATCAAAAATTTCGAATTATGGTATATTATTATTGCAAACTTAATGAACTGCGGAACGGTGTAACATTAAGCAAAAATAATTAGTTCCTAAACTCTTATTATTGAAATGTTTGAGAAAGTCTTAAAATGAGCTTTAAAATATACGAAATCTTTAACTATATTCTGTAGTTATTGAAAACAGTTAAAAAAATGACCTATTTAAATGTAGGATGATAATATAATATAATGAATAATAAATGCGAAATATTAAATATTAAATGTAACACTTACAATTTGTTGATATGACGATGAAGCACATTGAAATGATCAAAAGTACAATTTGCCTTCTTCCTTTAAAAGGTCTTTTTTTCGCTGTTGCAATGAAACTCTCCATGAAAGTCTTGCAAGAAAACAGTTCGCAAATTTTCTCACGCCACGTTTCTTTTCTATCCATTCCTCTGGTTTCAGGCAATAGGAATAAAACACATAAGATAGTAGCAACCACTCCTCCCGTTGACAGCAAATACACAGCTGGGTATCCTAAGAAATTATATATCCAACCTCCAGAGGCAGCTCCAAGAGGTATAGCTAACCCAGAAGATATTTCAAGTGTGGCGTATTTCATAGTTCTCTTATGGAATGGAGTCAAGTCTGAGGCGTAGCTATAGACCACCGCTAAAAGACACACCACACCCCCAGAAAGTCCCGAGAAAAGGGCTGGTATATAATAATATTCTACGCGAGAGTTCAAGTAGTGGGCTGCTACAGCTGACCCTATTGAATCCAGCGCCAACCCAGATAAGGCCAGCAATACAGGAAATTTTCGTCCATAGTTATCACTCCAAGGACCTACGAAGCATGCTAACAGAGCAGCGGGTGCTGTCTGGATAAGAGTATGTCCAAGCTGATAATTTGTCGCCAATCTCTCAATTGCTGGTTTGAGTTCACTGTGGTATTCCAGGGACTCACATACATCCTGTGGATATTTGAAATGTGCTAGACATACTTTTTCTAAAATCATTGACGTGGATGTTATCCGTGGAAGAACGTATGAGAATGTTAGCAGAAAACCTGTTAGTTCTAGTCTGAATATACCTATTACATTTGTACAGCGTGAAAAGAATGAGCTGTTTTGTGGTGCTTCTTTGTTGGCATCGAACTGAGGCACTTTGATTGTAGCGCTGTTTTGGTAAGATTCTTCGGCTAAGCTGACACTTTTTGATATAGTTGGTGTAACTGTCATTTTCCAGACAGTTTTTTTCCACAGAAATGTCTTACGTACTGTATCCTGAATATAAATTTTTATGAAGCTCTGATTTACTTCCCATGCTCTTTAACCTGAAAAAAAATCGTTTTAGTTCAATGAATTCATAACAGCATCAATCATGTTTTTAAAATAAATATCTATAAACACGATTAAATCATATGATTAAGTCAACACACTAAAAATGTATATAGGTTTCTTTAGTAATTGAATTTTAAACTAAAACAAGAAAAGAATGTTAGATATTTGCAATGTTGAGACCAGAAAATAGATTAGTTACTCAATAGATTAATTACTGTTATTATACAGGCAATAAACATTTATTAGAAATGACTGAAATGACCCATTGTTGTGAGAATTGAAATTAACACCGAAGATTCAAGCGGGAAAAATTACAAAACAATAGCATTTTATAAAAATATATGCTTACTTGTGAATTGTAACTCCCTTCCGTTTTGCTGTTTACTTTTCTAGCAATCAAGACACAAAATTAGACACGAAATACGTTTTCCCCACAAAAACTTCCTGTATTTCTTCAATTTTTAATCTAAGGACCTCACCTGCTTTATTTGGCATGTTTTCAAATGTTTTGTTCACAGAGAGTTAATTAAACGTACGAAACTTACTAAATATGCAAAAAAAAAAAATACTTTTACAGAATAACATCTACTTTTACAGGTGAATTCTTAAAAATAAAATTGATAAGAAAAACCCAAAGCTGGGGTCTGATAAACCACATCGCTATAATCCAAAGGTTAATAACATTAACATACAAATAAAATTATATAAAATTTTGAATATTAGCAAAATTGCAATTAAAGTTTTCTGGAATAAATGTTCAGAACTATGAAAATCTTTCAGAATTAATAAAAGTTTCGATTAAAATATTTCTCACCTGTCTGTGTGTGCAAAACAAATTCGGCTTAAAGTTCAAAAAACCAAAAAAGTATTCTTGAAGAAACAAATATTAAAACATTAAGTGACAACATTTTAATAAATTTATAGTAGATACTTTTACCATTTTGATAGCGAATTTGATGCAATGAGATGACAAGTGAAAAATTGTTTTTGAAAATGATAAAAAAAAGTTTTCCGGGCTTCCAGGAAAATTAGGAAAGAAATTTTTAATCTCTGATTTCAAGTTATTGAACCAAAGAATCGAAAGTAACTTTATCAAAGTTAATGCTGACTCATTAGATAATCTGATTTTAATTCGATTTTTATGAGATAAACCAATACATTTATTGTATCAAAATAAAAATATATTATTCGCAGTTCTTTGAAAAAAATTTTTATTTAGAAAATAATTTTTCAAACAGAGCAATGGTTTTGTTTATTGTTCGACATGATACATTTTGTTGATGACATGATACATTATGATAACATTTGTTTATTAGTGACTATGCATATTATGTTGATGATTAATTGAAATTGCATGTTATTTATCGCTATATGATTTGTTTTAGTTGAGAAACCAAAACAAAAACAATCTGGAAAGTAATACTCTTTGTTTACTTAATTTTTTCCAAATAAAAAAACATGCACAAACTTGCTTCCTTTATCAATTTGATTTAAACTACTATGACAATATTCAATTTTAAAAATCCGGAGTAACGATTTCCTCATTCACCGACATGATTCTTTACGTCATAATAGTATTTATTTATATAAAAATATGCAGATTATGTTGGTGATTGATTAAAATCTCTAATCAATAAAATTTTATTTTCAATATCATAAAAGTTATCTTCGTTTTTTAAATATAATTTAGCAAAAACCGAGTCTGTGTTTTTATATTTAAATAGTATTGCTCGTACATAAACTATGGAACTAATCGAAAGCTATATTGAAAAAGAAAGTATCGTCATTACTACCAAAATATGATACAAGGGGCTATATTTTCTTGCTCTAGAAGAAAATAAGAAACTACGGCAGTTTCTACCGTAGGGCTATGATAATGACGTATATTGAAATTGCTAATAACATTTGGTTTTATTTAAATGTTTTATATATACATTTTGGTTTTATATATTTGGTCTGGTTTTAGATAACATCATGCTGTTTGATAGAAAATTTGGTAAATTTAAAGATTCATTAATGGATTGAGAACCCTGAGAACTTTCCTTGATTTTGATTACACCAAGAATTTTTTCCTGCGTTTAACTGCGTCACGTTTGGTGTGAGGGTGCAGCCACTATTTTTGATGTTAAGATACAGTAAAGATTTTTAGAGTTTTTGTCAAAAGTACTGGCACCCTGGGTGCAGCATCCGTAAAATCCATTTTGACCGTAAAATTTTATATCATAATTCTTACAGAAATATTTATTCAAATACAGTAATTAAGTGATTTTACAGTAAATATTACTGTACAAAAATTACGGTATTTCGGATTTTTCGTTTTTTAAAAAAAAAATTAAGTCAAAAATAGATTTTACGGTAGAAAGTACTCGCACTCTGTGTACCTGTACTTTTGGCAGTAATTAGATCAGAAATTTGTTGACAGTGCTTCTGTTTGGAACTTTTGAGAGAGATTCGAGCGTTTTCCTGTTGATCCACTAGGACGTATCAGTAACGGCAATCTTTTTCTTTCTCTTATCTGTAGCATATTTTTTACCAACAGCAGTTAAAAATAGGTACTTGTGCATTTCTTCCTACAAATAAGATTATTAATACGTCAAATCTATAGTTAAATCAAACAATTCCATTGTATGGCTACAGATACGAAAAAATGAATTTGTTGGTAAAGTCATTTTCTGTATGCGCGTTTAACCAGTTTTTATCAGGAATGTTCAGAGACATACGAAGGTCAAGGAAGCGAGACGGTTTATGTCAATGAAAGCTGATTCTGAGAAAACGAATTTCAAGGTTTCATTCATAATTAAAATATACATGACTGTCACATGCACTCATTTTCATCTCCTAAAAATTTAAAAACAAAATTTGAAATTTTTGAAGTTGAAATAAATGAAGTTTGAAAATCGAGTTGGACAGGAACCTTTTTTTTCTTCTCAAAATTCCTCTCTAGTCAATGTTTTCTCACTGGTCTTCCCGTTGCTTCCTTCACAAAATTTTTCTTTTTTTGTCAATACGAGGTCAAGAGCTACATTTCCCTTTTACGACCCATCTTCACTGTTTAATATTTCTCGAGGAGAACCGATTCACCATGTTCTTGATTTATCAAAACTTAGTAATACTAAATATGTAGCAGATGACGATTTAATTACGAATAACTTGACAACCATAGAAGTGACCTCAAACTGAATAACATTTTCAAATTCAGAGCGTCAAAATTTATAGACAAAAAAAGTTTTGCTTGATGTTTAAATTTTACGTAACATTTGCTACCATGTAATAGCTAGCCATAAGTTTTATTTGCTACGTCACTTCACTGAGTAACAATTTTATGTATCATTTGCTACCATTTAATAGCTAGCTATAAGTTTTATTTTGCTAAGTCACTTCACTATGTAATAATTCTCGAGGAGAACCGATTTACTACGTTCTCTATTTATCAAGACTTATTAAAGCTAAATATGTAATACATGACGATTTAATTACAAATAACTTGAGAACTATTGAAATGACCTCAAAATAAATAACATATTCGAATTCAGAGAGTCAAAATTTATGGACGAAAATGCTTTGCTTGATTTTTAAATTTTGCGTAACATTTTCTACCATTTAATAGCCAGGCATAAGTTTTGTTTTGTTACGTCAAAATGGAACAATACAGAGATAATGCCGTAAACTGTCATCGAACTCTTTTAAAAACAGTGTAATTTTAGATAAACCGTACTAAAAAGCATAATAAAGATTTTAAGATCTATTAACATTTATTTTTCGAACGATGTTGTTACCAATACCAAATAAATGGTAAAAAAAAAATATTTTTAGATGTATATGTGTCTTTGTTTCATTGTGATTTTTCAAAGTATGGAGGGAAACCATTTTTCCTGCTCAATTAAATTTTTGATTAAATGTTTCATAATGAGAACTATAATTTAAAAAATAAAAATTATTTCCAACAAACCAGCGAACAAAAAAAAATCAAATAAGGGATACAAATTCGATCGGCTTAAACACAAACCTCTATTAAGTAGGTTTATAATTACTGAGAAAGGTAGATACTGATCACAAAAAATTATACTTGGTGTTTCATAATCATCGATACATTTTATCATACATTTATTCCTTTTAAGTTCTGAGAAAAATAAAATATTAAAACTCAAATATTAAGGTCTTAAAACAATATTTAAGTAAAAAAATTTTTTTTGAAATCTGAAATTTTTTTATTTGGATTATCAAAAATATATATATTAACGAGTATTTATTTGCAAAACACATGTTTTTATTGTGTTAAGTAGTTAGTATATAATTTTTTTTTCTGAATCAAAACTAATTAATCAGCGATAAAGACATGCTTGTGTATTTTTACTGTTCAAGATGTTAGCTTAATAATAGTTACTTTACTCTAAACTGTAAAGTATTGCTCGAAACAAATGTATTGATACTTGTGCGAAAACTTTAAAAATAGTCACACAAAAAATTTGTGAAAAGAAATTTTTTTTCACAACCTCTGTTTTTAATAAATATTTATAAANCGCCAATCTCTCAATTGCTGGTTTGAGTTCACTGTGGTATTCCAGGGACTCGCATACATCCTGTGGATATTTGAAATGTGCTAGGCATACTTTTTCTAAAATCATTGACGTGGATGTTATCCTTGGAAGAACGTATGAGAATGTTAGCAGAAAAGCTGTTAGTTCTAGTCTGAATATACCTATTACATTTGTAAAGCGTGAAAAGAATGAGCTGTTTTGTGGTGCTTCTTTGTTGGCATCGAACTGAGGCACTTTGATTGTAGCGCTGTTTTGGTAAGATTCTTCGGCTAAGCTGACGCTTTTTGATATAGTTGGTGTAACTGTCATTTTCTAGACAGTTTTTTTCTCTCACAGAAATGTCTTACGTATTATATGCTAAATATGAATTTTTATGAAGCTCTGATTTACTTCCCATGCTCTTTAACCTGAAAAGAAAATCGTGTCAGTTCAATGAATCCATAACAGCATCAATCATGTTTTTAAAATAAATATCTACAAACAATAATAAATCATATCATTAAGTCAACACACTGAAAATTTATAGATTTCAGTAATTGAATTTTAAACTGAAACAACAAAGGAATGTAAAATATTCGGAATGGCCAGAAAATTAGTCAAAAGATTATTTACTGTTATTATACAGGCAATAAAAATTTATTAGAAATGACTAAAAGTATTTTACCCAATGTTGTGAATATTGAAATTAACACTGAAGCTTCAGGGGAGAAAAATTACAAAACAATTGCATTTTATAAGAATATGTTTACTTGCTTGCATTTCTTCAGTTTTTAATCTAAGGACAGCACCTACTTCATTTGGCATGTTTTCAAGTGTTTTGTCTGCAGAAACAATTAACAATAATTAAATGTACGAAGCATTCTAAATATGCACCAAAAATACTTTTACAGAATAAAATATACTTTGTAAAAGTATATTTTATTCTATAAAAAATTGATAAGAAAAATCCAAAGCTGGGGTCAGATAAACCATATCTCAGTAATCTAAAGGTTAATAACATTAACATATAAATAAAATTACATAAAATTCTGAATATAAGCAAAATTGCTATTAAAGTTTTCTTGAACAAATCTTTAGAACTATGAAAATCTTTCAGAATTAATAAAAGTTTCGATGAAAATATTTCTTACCCATTTCTGTACGTAAAACAAATTCGGATTCAAAGCTCAAAAACCGAAAAAGTATTTTTGAAGAAACAAATATTAAAACATCAAGTGACAACATTTTAATTAATTTATAGTGGATACTTTTACCATTTTGATAGTGAATTTGATGCAATGAGATGACAAGTGAAAAAGTGTTTTTGAAAATGATAAAAAAAGTTTTCCGGGCTTCCAGGAAAATTAGGAAAGACATTATTAATCTCTGATTTCAAGTTATTGAACCAAAGAATCGAAAGTAACTTTATCAAAGTTAATGTTGACTCATTAGATAATCTGATTTTAATTCGATTTTCATGAGATAAACCAATACATTTATTGTATCAAAATAAAAATATATTATTCGCAGTTTTTTGAAAAATAATTTTAGTTAAAAAATAATTTTTCAAACAGAGCAATGCTTTTGTTTATTCTTCGACATGATACATTTTGTTGATGACATGATACATTATGATAACATTTGTTTATTAGTGACTATGCATATTATGTTGATGACTAATTGAAATTGCATGTTATTTATCGCTAAATGATTTGTTTTAGTTGAGAAACTGAAACAAAAACAATATGGAAAGTGATAATCTTTGTTTACTTAATTTTTTCGAAATAAAAGACCTGCGCAAACTTGCTTCCTTTATCGATTTGATTTAAACTACTACTATATTCAATTTTAAAAATCCGGAGTAACGTTTCCCTTATCCATCGACATGATTAAATAACATGTTATAATAATATTTATTTACATAAAAATATGCAGATAATGCTGGTGATTGATTGAAATCTCTAATCAATAAAATTTTATTTATCGCTTTATATTTTGTTTTAATAGAAAACTCAATGAGAAATTAAAACAATGACAATATTTATATAGATGATTTTTATTTAAAAAATTAAAAATGACCTGTTTTGGGCCGTTTGTTTCATGTTCTCATTTTAAATGTTATTTTTGAGCATTTTTTTATTTTTCGTAGGAATGTTAAAAAAGAACATTAAACATAAAGTAAGCGATTTTGTTCTATAACAACACAATTTCGATTTGTCACATCTTATTCTGATAACCAATGGCATAAAAGTTATCTTCGTTTTTTAAATATAATTAAACAAAAACCGAGTATGTGTTCTTTTATTTAAATATTCTTACTCGTACATAAACTAATGAACTAATCGAAAGCTATATTGAAAAAAAGTATCGTCATTACTACCAAAATGTGGTGCAAGGTGCCATATTTTCTTGCTCTATAAGCAAATAAAAAATTACGGTAATTTTTACCGTAACTCTATGATAATGACGTATATTGTAATTGCTAATAACATTTGGTTTAATATCATGCTGTTTGGTAGAAAATTTGGTAAATTTAAAGATTCATTAATGCATTGTAAATTTGGTAAGTTTTTTATTTCTTTAATGCACTGAGAACTATCCTTGATTTTTATTTCACGAAGAATTTTTTCCTGCGTTTAACTGCGTTACGTTTGGTGTAAGGTAGTAGTCATTATTTTTGATGCTAAGATACATTAAAAATTTTTAGAGTTGTTGTCAAAATCAGCATCTTGGGTGCAGCATCTGTAAAATCCATTTTTACCGTAAATTTTTATATCATAATTCTTACAGAAATATTTATTCAAATACAGCAGTTAAGTGATTTTACAGTAAATATTACTGTACAAAAATTACGGTATTTCGGATTTTTTTATTTATTTATTTATTATTTTTTTACTTTTTATTTTTCTACATTTTGAGTCAAAAATAGAATTCACGGTAGAAAGTACCCGCACTCTGTGTGCCTGCACTTTTTATAGTTATTAGATCCGAAATTTGTTGACAGTGCTTCTGTTTAGAACTTTTGCCAGAGATTCGAGCCTTTTCCTGTTGATCCACTAGGACGTATCAGTAAAAGCAATCTTCTTCTTTCTCTTATGTGTAGCATATTTTTTACCACCAGCAGTTAAAAATAGGTACTTGTGCATTTCTTTCTGCAAATAAGATTATTAATACGTCAAATCCATAGCTAAATCAAACAATTCCATTGAATGGTTACAGATACGAAAAAATTAATGTGTTGTTAAAGTTATTTTCTGTATATGTTTTACCAGTTTTTATCCGGAATACTCAGAGACATAATGGTATGATACGAAGATCAAGGAAGCGAAACGGCTTATGTCAGTGAAAACTGATTCTGAGACAACGAATGTCAAGGTTTGAGAATTTTCAGAAGCACTCATTCTATTGAATTCATAATAAAAATATACACGACTGTTACATGCACTTATTTACATCCCCTAAAAATTTAAAAACTAAACTTACAATTCTTGAAGTTGAAAAAATAAAGTTTGAAATTCGAGTTGGACAAGAACCTTTTTTTTTTTTTCAAAATTCCTCTCCAATCAATACTTTCTCACTAGTTTTTCCGTCGCTTGCTTCACAAAATCTTTCTTTTTTTTTTTGGTCAACACGTGGTCAAGAGCTACATTTCCCCTTCACAACCCATTTTCACTGTGCAATATTTCTCGAGGAGTATAGATGACGATTTAATTACAAATAACGTAAGAACCATTGAAGTGACCTCTAACTAAATAACATAAATAACATTCAGAGTGCCAAAACTTTTTTTTTTTAATGGCGGGCACTTGGAGCTATTGTCCATTGGCCACAGAAAGTGCCAGAACTGCTAATTCTCTTTTCGTTACCCAGTGGGCACCTGTGGCGAAGCCACGGCGGTGGAACAGCGTCGCCCACGTCACACTACCACAACCCGTTTATAGGGCGGGTCACATTCACACATTCACACACAAAGGAGAAAGAACATAGAACACAGATAGAGGGAAAGAAACATCCATGCCTTGCCCGGGATTCGAACCCAGAACCTTTCTGATGCAAGGATAGTTCCCTGCCCCCTACACAGACTGGTCGGCTGAGTGCCAAAACTTATATACTAAAAAAGTTTTGCTTGATGTTTAAATTTTACGTAGTATTTACTACCATTTAATAGCTTGGCATAAGTTTCATTTTGCTACGCCAAAATGGAACAGTACACAGATAATGCCATTAACCGTCATCTAACTCTTATAAAAACAGTTCAATTTTAGATAAACCGTGCTAAAAAGCATAATAAAGATTTTAAGATCTATTAACATTTATTTGGTGAAATGAAAGATGTTATTACCAATACCAAATAAATGGTAAAAAAAAATAATATTTTTAAATACATACGTGTATTTGTTTCAACGTGATTTTTCAAAGTATAGAGGGAAAACCATTTTTCCTGCTTACTTTTGATTAAATGTTTCATAATTTTAAGAAAATATTATTTCCAACAAACCAACGAACAAAAACTTTATCAAATAAAGCATACGAATTCGATCGGCTTAAGCACAAACCTCTGTTAAGTAGATTTATAATTATTGAGAAAGATGGATACTAATAACAAAAAACTTGGTGTTTCCTAATCATCAATCATACATTTATTCCTTTTAAGTTTTGAGAAAAATAAAATATTAAAACCCAAATATTCAGGTCTTAAGTCAATATTTCAGTAAAAAAAATTTAAACCTGAAACTTTTATATTTGTATTATCAAGATATTGTAATATATATTAGTGAGTATTTATTTGCAAAACACAGGTTTTTACTGTGTTAAGTAGTTAGTATAGCATTTTTTTCTAAATCAAAATAAATTAATCAACAATAAAGACATGCTTGTGTATTTTTACTATTCAAGATGTTAAGCTAATAATAGTCACTTTACTCTAAACTGTAAAGTACTATTTGAAACTAATTGAATATATTGATACTTGTACGAAAAGATTAAAAATAGTCAAACAAAAAATTTGTGAAAAGAAAAAAAATTTCACAACCTCTGCTTTTAATAAATATTTATAAATTTTATGATTTACAAATTTTTCAATTTAGAAAATTTATAATTAATAAATTTTATAAGTATTAAATATTTATTAATTATATCTCATAATTTGGAAAAAAAGTATACTTATTTAATGGTACAATTTTTTAATTGTTATTTACTATATTATTTATAATTTACTCTAGTAATATTCAAAAAGTGCTGAATTTTGGATTTATATACTTTTACTAAGTTTTGAACCGCGCAACTTTAAATGATATCGGTTCGGAATCCGTTGACTACTTCATAGAACGTTAAAAAGTCATATTTTTAAATTTATTGTTCTCTGCTCCTGTTTGAACGATTTCCGCCTTCATATTTTGAAATGTTTTAGTTACTTTAATTAAGGCGATGTAATAAGACCATAAATAAATTATAATTTTTAATTCAAACTATTTCGGTCATTACAAAATTAAATAACAAAAATAAATAAATAATGAATATTAATTATTATTTCTTGAATGATTAAAAAATATAGGTGAAAATAAAAAAAAAATATTTTTATTCGCATTTGTATATTTTTTTAATTGTCTCTTAGTAGTGGAGAAATGCACAAAAAGTTACATTATCGTATTAAGGAGCCCAAAGAAACTACCCATCTTCTATATGGTATACATACCGAAGAAATTCGGTTGTTAAATATAAAAGAAATTAAAAGTTAAACCATTAAATACATCATTTTACATTTCAAAATATTTCAAGAATAAATACATTATTCTACTGATTCAAGTGTTTTTTCATTTTTCATTTTGCCATAATATTTTCCTCTAAATTTTCTGATGAATTTTTAGAAGCGCATTATACAAGATTTTCTATGATAATAAAAAAAAAGATTTTAGTTAAATACTGCGACTGAAAGTTATGTCGGGATTGCTACATGTAGGGATTGCAAAAATGTTACGATAGTTTCAATATTAATTCTGAAGAATAACTTGCAATTACTACTTCAAATCACCACCCTTTTGTTTCAAACAAACAAACTCCGTTATCGAAAAAAATTCTTTAAAATAACTATGCTCGGTGTGAGCGAAGAAGAAAAGTCCCTCAACCCAGTCGACGGTGGGATTAGAACTTGGGTAACCTCAGTGAAAGGTTACCCAGATTACTCAGTGGAAAGTTACCCAGGTTACTCAGTGAAAGGTTACTCTGTCCGCAGTCCATGTTCCGAGTCTGAGTTACCGCAACTCTAGTGTCCATGAAGGAAAATCTTAAATAGTTTTACCTTAAAAGGCTTTCTTATTGAAATAATATTTAAGTTTAAAAACGTTTTAAACTAGTGGCCCACCCGTATAAAAATGTCTGGCAACTAAACTTACCAAAAAGTTATGTCTGAAAAATATAATAATCAGGTAGAGTATCAATTAGGTAATAAAATAAAATCGCGGTTTTTCAAAACCATAAAATAATTGCTGAAAAATAGAGCAAATGTAGAAAATATTCGTAAAATGCTTTGAAGAAATGTTGAGTTACAGTACAGTAAGGAAAACTGCGTTGCAAAAACTAGAATTTGAACTGGTGGTTTTAATCCGTTTATGATTAGGGTAAAAAATAGAAAAAACCATTTTGTCAACAAAATCGCTTTAAACCGTCAAATATAAAGAGAAAATCTGTAAAAAGAACTGGAATTTTTTATAGTATAACTAAAACAGAACAAAGAAATACAAACGAAATAAATTAATATCATTTTAAAACTATTTTTATTAAAGTAGCAATCAACATAAAAGAGTTTTAAATACAATTTATTTTATTACAAATTTTTATTAATACTAAAAACTTAAAGTGAGAAAGATTAAAACACTTACCCAAATTTTGCAGGGTGACTCTCACATGAAGAGCAATAATCTTAAAAGATTGAAATTAATGCAAAATAGGATTTCTTCAAGACATTTTTCTCACCTTTGTACCCATTGATAAGAAAATACTAAATGACGTGCAAAAGGTGCTTCATAAAACATATTTCGAAACAAAGTCTTTTGAAAATTATTTACACACTTTTTACTTTTGAAGATTTTGATATCTGTTAAAATGAAAAAAAAAAAATAATAACACGAACAATAATAATAATCTCCCAACGGACTGCATCATCGCTAAATCCGATATAAAAATGAAACGATCAAATTTTTTCGACGATAACACACCACGTGAATCAGTATTTTTAGCACAGAAGTCAATAAATGAAGGTTAATAGCATAATACAAACAGGCACCTAGTTTCATAACATATTTCAGATTTTTCTCTCATAATCCCTTTAAAGTTCCAGTAACCAAATAATTTCTTACTGACGTTCGAAACTGTTTACTGGGAAAATATGTTAGTAATAAAAAAGCTGTTAGTATTGAAATGATAATTATAATGATTGAGTAATAAAAGGGTAATACTCGAGTAATAATAACTTCGTTAAATAAGATGGATTACGATTCTTCCCAATGATTCCCAAATGATTAAATGATTAAATTACAGTTCCCAATGATTAAATTACAAAATATTTTAAACATTGTTCTTGTGTAAATAATTTAATGAATTTCAAAATTATTGAAATCTGATTTTGGTTTTTCAAATTTGAGGAATAATGGTTGTAAAATAAGACTCAAAATAGAATTCTTAGGAACAAGAACAATGGTTAGACGAATCATACACTGTAAAAAGCTACGAATCAAATTACGGTATAAAGCACCGGCACTATAGGTGCACCATCCGTAAAATTCATTTAACCGTAAAATTCATTTCTACCGTAAAATATTATACCACAATTTTTACGGAAATAATGATTTAATTAGTTGATTCATGGATTTTACGATAATTATTACTGTAAAAATTACGGTAAATCGGATTTTTGTTCAGTAGCATGTTCCGGAAAAAAATGGATTTAAATGTAAAAAGTACCGGTACCCTGAGTGTCGGTATTTTTTACCATAATTTGATCAGGAATTTTTTACAGTGTATGAACAAAAAACAAGATTCGAGATTGCTGGCTTCGATCACGAACCTTCATAGTTAATACACAATTATTTTTTGTTTCTAGATGGCAAAAAGATGGTTACATTTAAATTTAAAATTTTTCAAATAAAATATCCCCAAATTTAAATTAAAATAAAATTGATTCCAAAAATTTGAATTCCGAATCTGTTGGTACAAAATTTAAACCTAATATTTTTGCTCGGTTATTATTGAAATTCATTCACAAACTTGAAAATGTTACTTATATTTAGGTAGCTATAAGGACTTGTTATGCATTTTTTACTTCATAGATTATTTAATAGCTTCACAGAAATTTAATTTTTAATGTTTGCTTCAAAATTTTAAATTGTTTTGTATTCAAGATATTGAAAGCATCGATTCACTAAACATACATGCATTTATGTATATGCCAAAATATGCATTTTTTCTCAGTAAAATTTACAGTTTTTTAACAGTGTGTTTAATGTGATGTTTAATGTCAAAGTGAGGACAAATATCTTTATCTTAAATTGTTGCGTATAAAAAAATAAAATCACGAGATTACTTTATAACATAATAAAGGAACAACAGTTTCAGTTTCAATACCTTAATTTTGAAAAATAATCTAAATCAAAAATTAATTATATCGCGAATAATATTTATTAAGAAGGGACAAAAATAAATATTGCAGGTAAATATTTTCGAATAATAAATAAATAAATAACATTATAACTTTTATTAATTTTTATGTTGATAGCAACTAAAGATATCTAGATCTTTGCATTCATTTGATGCAATGACTTTAATAATTTTGCAACGAAAGATTTCTATATATAGTCAGATTCCCGTTATCTGACTATTATCTTTATTAAGAAAATGAAGATTATTTATAACTTTAAACTGATCTTCAAATTTTAACTACCTAACCTAAAAATTACCTGAGTAAATTATTCGATATAATCCGAAAGGAACAGCTTATAGCACATTAAAACGTAATTCAACCAAAATCGTAAGTGTAATAGGGATAAAAATCTCTGAATATATTTCATCATAGGATGCAACATTTATTCCTAGATAACGCGAAAAATAATTTTCCGAATTGTAATATGTTAGTCACTCATAAATAATGAAAAACAATCCACCATGACATTTTTATGTAAGCCATAAGAATGACTTTGCACTAATGTGAAAAAGTCACAGACTGTCATAAAACAAAATTGCTTTAAGATATGAAAAAAAGCTTAGGTCATTTTACTAAATGTTACAACGCGTGTCGTTTTAACTTCACCGTTAATCCTGTCATATTATTACAAATCCTGTTTAGTAAATACGTAGTAATAAATGAATACGTGAAGTGACATAGAATATATGTGTAGTTACTCAAAAACTCTTCTTTTTTCTTCAAAAAAAAAATCTATTTTATGTAATAATTATTACGTTAAACGGAAAAAAACGTCGACGAAAAAAGCATTCACGAAAGTAGCTCGAAGAAGAAGCGCGAGAAAAAAAAAGCAACGGGGAAAAAAGTATGAATTTTTAAGTTACATGAATTTAACGTCTGATTATATTCGGGTTCTTAAGTCAGATTTTAAATGTAATTAATATTTATTTGAATGCAATTACATGCTTTTTTATATAAAAATTTGTTAATTTACATCTACTGATTTGAAGTTTCTGGAAAACTTTTCCCGTTTCATTCTTTTTTAGTGAATCATTAGGGAATGTAAAAAGCGCTACAAATTTACAAAATTCCAGGAATTTTACTTATTGTATTGTTTTGTAATTATCTTATGCAAAGAGTATACTTTCAACTAAAGATTTTTTTAAATTTTTTTTTTATAAAAATTGATTTAAACACTGCATTATTTTTCAAAATTATTTTCCATCCGATCACAATACTATTTCCTAGCGAGAATATTTTTCATCGATTCAGAATTTTTCTTTTTTTCATGGCGGGTACTTGGGATGTATTGTCCCATTGGCCAGGAGTGCCAGAACTGCTTCTCTCTTCTCGTTAACCAGTGGGCACCTGTGGCGAAGCCACGGCGATAGAGCAGCGTCGCCCCCGTCGCACAACAACAAACCCGTTTATAGGGCTGGTCACATTGACACAATCACACGAAGAAGAAGGGACATAGAACACAGAGAGAAAGAAACATCCATGCCCTGAGCGGGATTCGAACCTGCAACCATCGGCTCCGCAGTCAGGCACGCTAACGACTCGGCCACCTGGTCGGCATTGATACAAAATTAAACTATTATAAAAGATGCACAGTGAAAAAATAACAATTTAGAATTTGCATTTCCTGAATTCCAACTAAATCCTTGCATATTAATTATACTGAAAGACATATATTATACGCTAAATTCAAATCTGTATTTAATTTCTTTTAAGATTGGGATAGCCTAGCCGTCCCTAAAACATTCGTTAAATTCATATAATAATTGAAATAAGGCTTTTTTTCGATGCGTTCCTTTAAGTGCTATTATTTTATTTTATTTTATAACCAGCATTGAACAGCTAATTCAATTCTAAGTTTACGACTATCACTGTTCAACTCAGTATTCTTGTAATTTTTAAACTTGATCCAGAAGACAAGGGAACTTTTGGATCAAGCATTGGGAAGAACTAGCCTTTGTTAGGAATTTTTTGATGGAACTAACCTGCATTTGTGTTACATGAGGAGAAAAACCATGAAAGCTTTCCACAGTTAGCCCGACTGCAAAAGGATGTTAACCCATGATCCACCAACCAATGAGGATATTTTTTGTCAACACTGTGGTAAGTGTAAGCTGGGAGCAGAATTCGTATCGACCAGTCAATGATTGGATTCGAACGTGGGTCACCTCATTGGAAGGCGAGAGCTCTAAACCCCAAAGCCACAGAGGCTCAGGTGCTACTATTTTATTTTATATTTTATAACCACCGTTGAAAAGCAGACCCAATTCAGACAGATTTATGACTATCAATGTTCAATTCGGTCGCCTTGTAATTTTGAACCCTAACCACAAGACGAGGCGACTTCTGGATGAAGCATTAGAACAAACTAGCTTCCGGGTAGAAACTTTTGATAGAACTTTTTGTGTTACATGGAGAGGAAAACCACGAAACTTTTCCACGATTAATCTAACGACAAGGGGACTCTAACCCTTGAACCGTTTACCAACGAGGATGTTTTACGTCAGCACTGTGGTCGGTGAAGAATAAATATCGATCAGCCGTCGTTGGGATTTGAATTCGGTTCACCTTTTTGGAGGGTAAACACCTGAGCCACCACGGATCTTTTAAAAGGTTTATGTTTTGAAAAAGTGCCCAATGCTATAATTGGCCACTAAACATTAGCAACATTTACCAATTTTGATTCATTATATGAGAGATATTAATTTGAAAGTTAAAGGCACCACATCGATCCAATATATTTTAACAACGTATTTTATTTTAAATAACATTACAAAAATGTTAATTGATACCATTTTCAATTTCAAAACTATATGGTGGAAAATTCTCAAATCTCTTGGAAACTTCGAGTCAAAACTCTTATTTTATTTCCTCGGACAGCAAATAAATAATTTTATTGATTTGACGTTTTGCGATGGTAGAATATAAAGGTCATTTTGATGCCATAATAGGCATTACATATTTCCTAACTTTTAAAATATCTCTAAATACTTAAACTGATTTTTTCATTATTAATCGAATTATATTTAAATTAATCAATGAGTTAATCTTTATAAAAGCGAACATAATATATTTTATTCTTTTCTTATGGATCAATGTAACGGCTAACTTTTTATTTCAATACTAATATAGACTCATTAATTCAGTGTCACGCCTAATCGAAAACAAAAATCTATTTATAACTCTTTATTGTTAAATTTCTTACCACAAATATGTTTCAGTTACATGGTTATATTAATTCTCACAGTCTTGTTGGCGATTCGCGATCGCCAAAGTATTTTCAAACCTCATATTGATTATGGGGGGTTGGCTTTTTTTTTTGCTATGTTATTTTTCGATAAA